TATTAAGTACACTTCCGCGAAGCTTTATTATTATTATTTAGAGTAGATACCATAAATATCAATTTATACATTAATCTTTGATTATTTAATTAAATAGCCAAGGAATGGTCTTAAAAATGATGCCATCATCAAAAAATTACCTAAAAAGTTAATAAACTTTCACATTTTATGATTACATTTTTATAGTATATATAAGCAAAAAAGAAGTTTTAAAAACATTTTAATAGACAGTTTACCAATAAAAACCACTAATTTTATGAATTTTTAAAAGAACCGGATTTGGTTGGGTTCCGGTTCCCCAAAACAAATAATTAAAGGTTCCGCTTAGGTTCTCGGTTAGGTTTGTATTGATTATATTAGTTTTATAGTAGACTGTGCTAAGATTTCAATATTTAAATAAATAATTTACTTTTATAGTTTACGAATATCAAATTTTGGACTATTTGTTCATGTTTTTGAATTCTTTGCGAAATCTCAAGCTAAAATTGAATATGTTATATAAATTATAAACATTTTTCTTACTTTCATGATATACTTAACTCTTTATGAATACTATTTTAGGTTTATAAAAAAATGTTTGACATGAAATTTTTGATTAGCTATATAATATTTTTATTAATCAGTATTGAGTAATGACAATTTTATTATTGCAAACAATGTTTGTTATATAATTTAATGTAAAAATTTTAATTTTGGATAAAATTCTAACGTTGCTTTAAGGAATAAATTTTATACTTATTTTTAAATAAATGAAATTTCTCTATTATTTTATTAAATATAATTATTAATCTAATATTTTTTTGTAATTATTTTATTTATTAAAAAAAATTATTTTTTGAGAAAAAAAGTATTAAGAACTCTTTTTTCACTCATTATAATTAAATATGGTGCTATTAAATAATAAAATTACTAAACTCAATAAATTTTGCAATTATTGTGTTATTTCAAGTAGAAAAATATTGTAAAACAGTTTTTGTTTATTAATTTGCTTGTGGAATTTTATCAATCAAGAGTACATTTTTATTTTTCAATTTTTTCGGTTAATAACTCATTAAGCTTAGATCTTTATATTCATACTTAATTTTTAATTATTAATAGTTTTTCTATATATATATACTGTATGACTGTATATACTGATAACTACTATATACTGCAAGTTATATGTGATAGGAAAAAAGTGTGCTTTTTTACCCTAGAAAAGTATTATATATTCTATATATGTTCGAGTAAGAATTATTTTTAGTATATTTTTGAAAAAATAAATAATGGAATAGTAAATTTTTTTACTCGTCAGATAAAGTAAAGAAGATAATTATTATAAAATAATAATATAAATAATAATTTATAAAATATTACAAAATATTATATATAATATGGAATACCAGACTGTTTTTAAAATTTTATGATAAAATAAATAATAATAGTCAAATTGTTACATTGTCAGAACACGAGGGACTATAATGTCACTGATCGCTATATCAGTAAATATATTTACTTAAAATATCTAATTTATATAGTTATCTAAATATGTATTGTTTTAAAACTGCACCCTAAAAATAACCTTCGTTTTTTTTTAAACCTTTTAAAAACTTGGAATTTAACAATGAATATGCGGTAGGGTTGAAAATATTCATAAAATGTTGGTGAATTTTATAAAATCAGTATGTTATACTCTTTTCTCATGGAGATTCGTTGATGAATGATGTATCTACTTTATGTCAATGTTATCAACTTCAGTATTTTACACATTTTACTAATATATGTTGGGTGATCAGTAGAATATAAGGCAGTCAAGTGTGAAACGCACAGTATGACTAAACATAACTACAGGCAGCTGACATGTATTTTAGTTGAATCTAAAAGAAACATTTTTCAAAACTGATGTTTTTTTGCTTGGTATGCATTATGCATGGTATTTTTTTCCGGCACTATCTTAATATTATTTTTATTAAATCTATACTAAAATATTCTTACTTGTAGTTTTGGAATATATTTAATAAATTCGTAGTAAATTCCAATATGTTTCCAAATATTTTTTCTGATATGAGTTTCAAGTGTACTAATGATAATTATTGTTTAATAGAAATATTGTTTTTTTTTGTGTTTATACTTAAATAAAAATAAGTTAGCATAAATGCTCAATAATTTTATTGTCTCACCATATTTAAAAAAACCCAGCACAGTGGGGACGTGGCATAGTTGAGTCAAGTATAATGATTAAAATCACTATCATAAAAAACGCTTCCATGTAAATCTATAGATAGTGTTTAACTTTAAAAATTGGCGGATTATTCCAAAAGCTACATGATCTCCTATTTCCTTATTTATATCCTGATTAAAAATTGTATGATATATAAGTGTAATATATGAATATATTAATATTATATAAATAATATATATAAATAATATTTATCATAAAAAAATTGTATTGATCCATATATTTTTCAAAAAGTTATAGCATTATAAAATTAAAAATATAAAACAGATTTTTTTTACAAAAATCGTATTATTTTTATTAATTATTGTTAATGAATTTGTTTCACATTTATGAATATGAAGGGTTTTTTTTTCAAATTTTTTATTCTGATAAGTTTATCAACATTAGAATCGAGTTCTTTTGACATACTGATTATTAAAATCGGTCCAGTAAGAGCTGAAAATAAGACACATTCTATCACAATACCAATATCTTTTCTGCTTTGCTTTGAACCTAAATTTTTGAATCTTGAATTTTTATTTAAAACTTGATATAAAGTAAAAATGTTTAAAATTATTTTCGAGTATTAGGTACGATCGATTTCGTTGGTCTCTTCGTGTAATAATGTCACGCTCACGTTATTGCTGCGAATCAACATTGCGACATCCAAGATTTGCAATGGCTTAGGGGCCATAATTCTTTTACCGATCTGTCTTAATCTAAGGCCAACCGATTTTTTTCCATTTCACGACATCAGTCGATTATTCTTACCGAACACCGCCAAACTTTTCTGGGAATTATTGTTTTTTCTAGATAGACGTGCGTCAAATGACAAATGATTCATGTGTAATTACAATATTATTTGTACGATATAGTTTAATCGAAATTTTGAAATGTTGGAAACATTTCTAAATTACTCGATTATATTTTATACAGGTCTGAAGTATTTAAAACTAAAAGTTATCTAAATTAAATTTACTGGTACACTTAAAGGTGACAAACTTATAAAAAAAGTTTTCCTGGGAGCTAAATAAAGATGCACTGTTGTGTTAATTGAATGAAATTGTATTATTTCGTTTTTATTTTTGATGACGGTTGAACTTTTTTCTTTGGAAAATGATTATTATTCTCTTCCGGAGTTTGTGTCGTAGCTACTGGCCAGAGACCATATTTCCCATCTACAGACGTGCGAATAAGACGGTTTGGAATATATTTATAAATATATTCTACATTGTATTATTGAAGTTGAAAGTCTGGTGCGCGCAAAGAAGAAAGAGGATAAAGTTTTGGCCGCGGGTGAAAAAAGTATATAGCAATGATAACGACGTGGAAAGCAGAACGACACTATTGAACACTCATGGAATACATTATTAGTTGGACGTAGTATTTATAAAATTGCCAACACATTCTTCGTACTAAAAAGTTTTCTCACAGTAATTTTTTTCTTCGTATTATTATTCGGTTTTATTTAGTCACCATTGCTGTCAAACTTACTTACAACAAAATACTGCTCACCGCTGTCACGTTGACAGTAAAGGGAACGAACTGCAAAAGTATACATATAGTATCTTATAAACCAATAGAGTTCTCATAATAAATAATTAGTTTAGAAATGCTTTTTGTATTATGACATTGAAATTATTCTTGACATTTTATTGCAAACATTTTTTTTTTACAGAACATTTGTTAATATTAAGTAAATTAGTACAAATTAATTAACATAAATAAATTTAAAACGTTCTAATTGAAAGGATACTTCTCAAACGAAAATATCAAAATTGATAGGACATTTCACTACTTAAGATCTTTAACATTGAAGTAATTAACTAGGCATGGTTGGATTCCTCAGATTATTTTGGGAATAGAGACCCTTTTAACCTCCAACTATGTTCACTAATGAGTAGTACTACACTTGTGTTTTATTTTTTTGTGGAATATAAACCAATTATTTTTGTTTAATTAAAAATAATAAATAAATCATAAAAAATCTTGAAATATATACTTATTAAAGCAATTAATAATTTCTATTGTTATTTGTTAAAATACAGGTTCATAATATTTACCGTTTTATAAAGAATTTACTAATAATAATAAAACTCAATTTTTATAACTTTTTAGCCGTGTGGTATTTTTATTTTGGATTTATTGTTTCTCGTTTATTGATAATTTATACAATTACAAATACCCAATTAAATGATTTTTAATATAGACTTTATAACACGTGAACTGCGCTTCGAATGTAATTAGTGTAAAATTATTTACTTCGAATAACAACGTGTGTTTAAAATAGTTCAGTAAATTTTTTATTTATAGTTATGTATGTATAATTAAAAATTAATAATTCTAATTATTTGGAATCAACTCGTCTATCTACTGAGGCAGATAGTTGTCATTGCTGATAAAAACAAAAGGAAATTCATTTTGACAAAGCTAGGGATAACAGTAGAACAGGAAATTGATGGATCATCTGAAATCTTTTCTACCAACTGTGAGAACCATTTTTTTGGACAAATATAACCGTTTAACGTTGATGAACAGTGTCCGGCTACTGGATTTTGGCGGTCTGTTGTAGCGGATAAATGTCGTTCAGGACGAAGGGGTATCGTCATTATCTCTCCTGTCTTCACGATTAATTCTTTCGCTGGACTACCACAAAATATATTACTCCGATGCTTTTCGTCACGCCCACCCGACGGTTGCGCATCGCACTTGCTGACTGTAATTGGTTTAGCCGTTGGCTGCGGCGGGGCGGCGACAAGTGCGCCCGCGGCTAGCCGGCGGCATTGCTTCTCTCAGACCGGCACGATAGTCGCGTGCTGTCCATAAGACACGCCAGTCCACGTTCCGACGCACTAAACAGCATTTTGTGTACTCACGTCGTATTTCATAGCTCACGTAAAAAAACTTATCGATATTGTTGTAATCGACAAAAAACACTTTGCTGATGATCATGCCACTATGAAACGACACCGGATGGCCGTAATACTATGGTGCACGGCCACAGTGGCTTTAGGGCTGTTTTCCAAATTAACCTCAGCAGCAATTGTCCCTTCAGGTTAGTTGAAACATATTTGTTAAAATATGCAAAATTCACAGTCTTCTTCTTGGCCACAATTAGTTAACTCTGATATTTGCAAACGTCATATTTTGGAAAATTTTTGTTAAAAAGGTCAAACAATAGATATTTTGAAAGTAATTGGGTAGTAGTGGACATTTTCAGATAATCATACGAAAAAGGAATTTCAAGTAGAACAGTTGAATTTAACTGATTTCATTAAATAATTTATTTTACTATAGTTCTTTGTCAAAATTTCTAAGAAATTTTTTATTAGAAAGAATAAAATACCATACTAAATAATATATATGTAAATTTATTATAGAGTTAATTATAGTTTTTTTTTTTTTTTTACTTGTGATAATTTAACAATTTAAAATATATTTAAATTTAACGTGAATAAGAGAATTATAAAAAGTTAATAGATCTAAGTTAATCTTTTTCATTATTAGTCTGTTATGTTAATAATCTTTTTTTACTATGGCAATTTTTAAATGTTATTTAAATTAATTTAAAGAATAATTTTACCCATTGTTGCAGTTTAGTGTTTATTTTTTAGAATCTTCTAAAATGTTTAAATATCATATGATAAAAGAGCTGCTTTGTGAAAAATGTAATACTTTCATATCCGAATTTAATATGTAGAGAAAAATGAAACATATATTAATCATTCTAATTTTATTATTTTAATTAAGTATAACCTCCTAAAATTGAAACTATTTTTTTTTTAATAATAATAAATGAAATTAATACTTGGAAATTTTGGTCATTTAGTGGTATGTACGAGTAAAATGTATCTTTGAAAAATATGGCACTATATATTGTTTAATATAGAAATTATGAGAAAATAATTAAAGTCATGTCCATAATGATGTATAAAAATAGAATGATGTTTTCTATAAATACGCATGTATTTTTAGTAATACCATTTTTTTATTTATATCACTTCTATCAATAAAAAGCATAAAATATTACTCCGGCTTTGTTATAAAAATAGCTAGTCGAATATGTTACAATATTACTTAACACGTGTGTAGGTATCATATTCGATCAACTAGAAGTTATGCGATCTGACAAAACTTCTATTTAAAAACAGCTAAAACTTGATAGATACGATACTTGTAAACTATCATCAGATATATTTTTTTGAGAACCCTATGAATTTAATCTGACAATTTTTCGTTTAATTTGCAATTCTGTTCTTGTTGGTCGAAATAGTGTATTATGGCTGATTATGATTCATTTGTAAAGAACACATAAAGAGTAATAAAAGAAAAAGTTTGATACTTATACAAAAAACGCCACTTCTATTTTCTTTTTTTAATTCGCATGAATATTTCGTAAAATCGAATATGAAATAAAGAAAAAAGATTCATAACAATGTTATATAATAAATATCAAATATTTTTTCATATTTATTTACTATCATTATTATCATTTGATATATTGACCGAAGGTAATTTTTTAAATTTTCGGTCATCTATTTCTATGGTTTGTTAATTTTGTTGCGTTTAGGGAGCGCCTTGTTGTTGATGTTAAAATTCTAGAGTGATTATCTATCTAAAAAATAGCAGTAAACGGCGTAGTATTACTTCAATTACAAATTGTGAATGATTTGCTCACGGCGTCACACTGGCACACTATTTGATCACTAATTTAAATTATTAGTTTTTAGTACAGAATACCTTTGATAATCATTTTATTTCTGTTTTACTAAAAATGTTTTTTTTTATCTACGAGCGGTTATTTTATCAGTGAATATTAATGCAAATAGATTTATGGACAAAATTATAAATGCATGTATGTAGTATGGATCTACATCGATGCTGATGATATGCACCGCTGTAGTAGGACGACAAAATAGACATGAATATTCATCGGTATGGTCGGCCGTTAGATATCGTGTAGGAGTATAAAATACAACATGGGAGGACGACCACTTTTGTGGTTGCAACAAAGTTTCCGGTGACTTTATACTTTTAGGCAGGGAGTCTAGGGGTGTTTATTTATTTTGTATTTATAAAATTGTTTTTTTTTCTTTTTTTTTTGGTAACTCCAAACTGAATCTGAACTAATTTAATTAGGCAGAATAAGAAAAAAATCTATCCAATAAATAGTTTGTATTGTTGCGTTGTGTACATTCGCATTGAAATCATGTTACAAATCAAAATTATTTTCTAACAGTGTACAATAATAATACTCTTTGGTGAACTTATTTAAATGACTGTAAATACGCTCACAATGTCTAATTATCATTAAAGATTTATCTTACTAGACTATGTGACATTTATAGCCTGACATGTTTTCTTTGAAAATCTGACTTGTAAAAAAACCGAATGATTTTATGACCATCACGTCTCGGACGTACGCGAATTGCCTAACCTAATCGCCGTTCTTTAGTCACGTTTAAAATCTTCTATGATACTGCGCTGCTCGTTGTTCTTGGTTTTATCGCCGCACTCGTTAAACGCGTCGCCCGCCATCCCAAACTCGTAATTAATCTGTCAAATAATCCGATTTTGCTAAGTGATAATGTCGTTTAATGAAGTATGAAATAGTGATGAGTAGTGTATTCGTGTACACATTATTATTATTATTATTATAATACGTTTATGGTAGACATAAGAGATACTTTAATCGGCTTTAAATGAAATACGCCGTCGGCATCGTGTAATGCTAAAGTTACCCATCTCTCTTAGTCATTCAATATCATAACAACTGACGGCGTAAATGATTTTAGCGGTAAAATTTTATAAAATTCCACTAAAAGCAATTAAACGATTTCACTAACCATTAAGCTATTAAATAATTGGAAATTTAATAAACAAAAATATTTTTAGACATTGAAAAGCTTTTTTACATTTTTTTTATCGAAATTGATTGAGTGTTCACGTTTTATCATATAATTGATAGAGAAAAAATAGATTACTTAGATGATAAAGCACAATGTTTTCGCCTGATATTAATCCATTTATCGTTTATCATATCTTTAAAATAAAGAGAATGCAAATAATGAGAGCGTATTTGGTACTGAAAATAATTAAGCATTGTTAAGGTCAACTATAAGAGTTCCAATTATTCCTAATTATTTTTATGGGTTGCTTCTGAGTTTCCGTCGTATATTCATAAAAATACACATTTTATATACATAATACAAATAATAATAAAATTGCCATCTTCGTCCGCTCGGCGCCGAAAATGTCCGCTTATTCATTTAATTTGATACAATGTTACATTATACAATGAGTATTTACTCGGTCTACTTTTTGAAAATGATGAAGCACTGGATTACTATGTTGAACAGTAAGTTATTATAAAAGCTATGTTGACGATGCCATTTCACTAGCAATTGGTTTTTGTTTTGAAATAAGAGTTTCATCTAACAAATAAAATTTAAAAACATATAAAAATAGTAATATTGTGTAATACCTATTAAATCGTGCTCTTTCTATATAAGTATATGTTTTCCATTTATAAATTTAATAATATTATAATGTTTCTAGCTACCAGTATTATTATTATATTATTCCTTAATATTTTTACAATTTTAAAGTGAATGATTTATAGTTAAATTTATTAGTGTATCATGTTTTTTTTATGTTTATACAATTCGTTTACATGAACTAATTGTTGAAATTACACTTGTTAAAAAAACTTTTACAACAAATTTATATTAATTAATATTTTATATTGCCGTGAAAATACACAACAATTTGTTCTATTAATTAATAAAAACGAATAACATCTCTTATAATACTGAGTAGTTCGATTAATATTACAGTGTTTCAATCGATAGTTTTAACTCTTACCTAGGACACGAATTAATAAATTAAAATTTAATAATTTATTATTTTGTGTGTATTATGGTTTATGATAACAAAAAAAAAATAGTTTATAAATTAATGAATTATGAATTAATGAGTTTGTTTTATATTTAAATAACTCATTACAACGACACGCTTTACGTTTTCGTCATAATTATAAACATTTTTGTCACCTGTAATCGTTTACGCTAAAAGTTTGTTATTGCATTATAAAAATTAATTTAATTAATTAAGCTTAGTAAGAAATTTTACTGTACGTTTTTTTATTCAATCGGGCAAACAATTTGTTTTATTCGAGCAATCTCATGCTACTTGGAATAATAATCAATAAAATTGTATAAATATTTTATTAAGTAATTGATATTATGTTTTCTAAAAAAATGTTGAATCTGAATCAATAATTTTTCACTCAATCGCTAATCTTAAACGGTATTATAAATGTAATTAGAGTACGTAGTGTTTAAAGTTAGTGCTGTTAATATAAGTCTCAACATTTTACGTTTAGGATATTTTGCCCCGCTAGTATTCATGAAATCTTTTTTAATCTGTCCTTTGCTATTCTGTATCAAGATCATTACTTTAATCGCATGACTACAATTCAGTGGTCGACTAATTTGGGTGTAAATTATCATCTCGTCATACATTTCATTGTTAACGAGTTTAATGGTAGAAGCTGGTAACAATATAAACTTGAACCTATTTCCCTAGAGGCAAGTGTTGTGGTGAATATTTCCCTTTTAGTTGGACAAAATTTACATTTCAAAGAAATATTCGTTCGTCCAATACCATTAATCAAAAATTGTAATATTCAGAGAAAGGCAGGTGGTTCAAAAAGTTCTTGCAGTGTACATATAGTTTCAAGGGGAGAGATACTCAATCGTCCTTTTTTGGATGATTTCAATTTGTTTTATAAGTACTCGTATTGCAAATTTGGTTTGCATAATCATTGTATTTTTACATGTGTGATGGAAACAATTGCCTTACTATTTCATACAGTTTGACATTATCGAATTATATCACTGGCAATAGTTATTTTCACTATAATTTCAAACAATTGTTTTGTTAGAATTTATTTATTTGAAAAATTGTAATTGATTATTTGATTATTATTCGCATTGTCAAATTAATTGTAGGCAACTAAACCTTTTTTTAAAATGCGTTATATTACTCTAAAATTGATCTGGTAGAATATTAAGCCTTATGATAGTTAAACTATTACGAAACAATTCACTCGTTGCATGTTTTGGTTTTTCGTTCGAGAGTTATTGTCCCTAAGGAATACAAATTTAACATAAAAAAGACATTTTATACCATTTGTTCTTCTTTTTCCAATACATAATGCGTTTTTATCTTGTTCAATATTCAATCGCCATTAGTAGGTCTCGTCATAAAGTAAATATTATAAGCGTATAGAGTATGTATATTATACAGTATAAGTATTTACTTAAAATGAACAACGTTTTATCTTTATTTTTGTTTACTTAACTACAAAAAAGTGTTGGCTTCGGAAGATTAGTCGTGTTAAAAAGGCGTGAAGAATATTATTTTAATACTTTTTTTTTTTTTGCCACTTCTGACTAAAAATGTGCGTATGTAAAGTCAAAAAGAAATTCCGAATTATCTTGTTGTCTATCAGGTAAATAAAACGCTTTTCAATTTACGTTTCATGTAATATTTTATATTTTCTTAAATAATGTTTTTTTTGGCCCTATCCTCGTATAACGAATGTTAAATATTATTTTCGGTCAAACGGTAAAATGCAAAAAAAAAAAAGAGCTTTTTAGTAATTTTTTTATTATTATTTGCTTTTGGGTTTACTGGAATAACAGCGAATACATGATGATCACAGTATAAAAATAAAGGCCACATTCTCAAAGAATTCCAAAGAACATAATAAAAATAATTTTAAAGCTAATAAAATGCATTCTATAAAATAATTTTACATTCTTTAGCTACTCGACAAAATATATCTATACTGGAATTTTTGACAAATCACAGTTAATTTCGTATTGATAAATGTATTACTTGTAATAATTATTAATGTAAATATTTGAAATATTCATTATTATAAAATACTTATGTAAATGCCTTTGTTAACCTGTTATATCACCGTAATTGTCTCATCACAATTTTGTAATAAAGTTACTATGCCGATTTTCACGTTTCATTCAAACTTAATTGAATGTTAAAGTAAAAAAAAAAATAAGAATACAAACAATTAAAATAAAACCATTCTTTAAATAATTAGTTATAAAATACTAAAGTCGACTTAATTTTTAAAATAGCAAACAATTTGTTCATTTTTCTTAGGAAAATTATAACTTAACGAATTTCAGAAAGAAATGATCATATCATTATAAAGTCAATTTAAAATAGTAAATTTATGACTTATTTACGAACTTTTAACAACACAGACCAATAATAAAGTAAATATGTATATGTATAAGTGTCAAAAATCACGTTGTTATGGTTAAAAAGATGGGTCTCGTTAGGTCAAACCTAACGAAATCGGTTGTGAATGTAAGGGAAACGAGTAATGTCGATGAGAATGTGGAAAGGGTACATTTTGTTTGCGGTCACGGTAGACTAATGACCCTGGCAGATGAAGTTGTAGATGAGGCAACAGATACATCATACACTCACGACGGCTGTTATGTAGTCTGGAATTGCTTTTTTGCCTTTGATGAATTGTACATTGGGGACCCCTCCTAACAGCCATCCCTCCGTAGCTATCTGTTCATAGTAAAAGGGACAACGATTGATATGCATAATTTGACTGTCAATAATGCCAATAATAAACGATACCTACATGTTGCCAATAAAACTCGTCCAAGTCCCAGAAAGGCTTATGAATATTGTATGCAGTGTATGAAATGCAAAAGAGTGTAAATGGATGTATATATTCGAGAGTTGTGTTGAGCCATAATATTCAATAGCTATAAGTTAAAAAACAAACGAAAATAAACTACTTATATTGGTAAAGCGAGTGATGTATTGGCTTCATGCATAGTGCCAGGTCAGCTGTTTTTTCCTAACTATGTTACTCTCTAACAACGTTTTACTATTTCGGTGGCCACCGAGGCGCACATTGAATTTCAATAAGATTGATTTATGGCGACAAATTTTTTACATGAGTATTGAAGGAGAAAATGGGTTTCAAAAATAACACCCAATCATTATAGTAGTTGTCAACTTCAAAGGAATATTATCTTTTTAGAATAATTATTTAAAATATACAAGTTGATCCATTTATCATAACCCACTCGATTACTTACAATATAAAAATAATTTCTGAAATTTATATATGAATATATATATTTACTTTTTTAGTTAAATCAAAACGTATATGTACATTTTGATTTATCAGTTACGATGTACTTTTTTAATTCATCTCTTATAAAATTGTTATTTTTTCAAATGATAATATAAATAATTATAATTAAATAGTTTATTCAGTGCATAATTATAACTTAGATTTGAATATAACGCGACATATCATAAACAAGTATTTCGACGATACATTGATAACAAATCATAACGTTTTTTAATAAAATAATATTGGTGAAATAATTCGTAAAAAATTAGGTGGACAGTATAAATTATTGAAAATATTAAATTAACTGTTATTGTGTTCAGAAAATATTTAAAGAAACAAATGATTTTGATTTCAATTATTTATCATTTATTTTAACTTGCGATAAAGTAAATACAAAAAAGATTACTGGAAATAATAATATTATTATATGCGTTTTTCCTTTCAATTAGGTACTCAAGTAATAATGGTTTCATCAAAAAATTATACCTATAACCAATATTTGGTGGGAATATTTTCACACCAAAGAAAACACAATCTTAATATTGCGTTCTCTTCTATTCTTTTCTTAATAGCAAATACCTTGTTTGATATTGTGAAATGAACATGTAAAATAAACAAAAAAATTTGAATTATCAAAAACTTAAAAATGTTTTAGAAATTCAACTACAAAACTACAAGAAATTTGCTACCAATTTTTTATAAAAATTTGTTCTACAAAATGGCTATTTTTAATTTTTTCAATACTGATTTGTAAATTATAATTGTATGTATAAATATACATAATTATATTTTAATAAATTTAGATAAATGGACATTATTGAAAAGCTAGACTTCATAGTTATTAATTCCATTCAGTATGACTATTATCTAGAATTAGCGTTAAATTTCTGAGATTATAAAGCTCATTGCGGTGGTTGCAGTGAATCGACATGCAAGAAGTGCCTCTGAGAGATTGATGATCTTAACTGACACCACTACCAAAGAAACGTTTCTCTATAAATCGTTTCCGGTCGACAGACGTTTATTGACACATTTCTTCACACCTATCTCCTCTTTGGCTTTCTGTTCACATTTTGCGTTATAGATAGTATGCAAAAATTGCATTTTACTTACATTATTAAATGCGGTGAGGACATTTTTGTCGGGCGGCTTATGCAAAAAAACTATCACTATGTCACGTCGACGAATACACGGAATGGATATATTTATTCTCACCCGGATGTCCGGTTTTGCGGTGGAATGCATCAAAAACACTGCTGGTGTGTCTTTATTAGAGTTTATATATACATATAATGTTATTGTTTTAAGGTGATGCTGCTGTGGGGTGGATCTTTAATCAAACACCCTTGCGCCTTTTTATTCTCTCCTTGAAGTTACCCATAGGCAAAATCTGATGATAACGCATTTGTCCATACAACAAACATCAGATATTCTAATAAACATTTATTGTCATTCAATATACAGTACTAACAGTTTGTATATTCAGATTTACTATAGATAATATAAAAATGTGTAAATACATTTTACCTAATTAGTAACATCAATATTATAGTTCAATAAGCTTTATAAAAATAAACATTCTGAAAATATCATTTTGTTTAAATAGTTTTTATTTCCTGGACGATTATATGATAATTGTATAGTTTTGTTCTGATAGATCTTGCAACAATTTCGTTGTAAGGTAAAATTTAATAAAGATTTATTTATTTATTCAAATAAATATTTAAGAATCGTTTAAAAAAATTTTTAATTAAATAAAAAAATTGTTTTAAAAGTATTCACTATAGACTATTTTCAAATAGTTTTTGAGGTATATTGATTAATACATTAATTTAATTAATTATGTACATCTGATACAATTTCACTGGTAAAATGTTATTAAATCGTTTGCTTCCTAATATTAATTTTTTTGTGTATTTAAAATAAATAACATACAAATCGAATAAAAGGAAACATTCAAGATAATAAAACTAGCATTTGCAGCTTAGGCTCTGCTATCCTTTACAAAGTTATTCAATAAATGCATTTGGGCTTACAAATAATCATTTATGAAAGACAGGTTACTTTAATAGTAATTATTACAAATTATCTCTAGTATAATTTTTAAATACATAAAATCGTTTATTGAATTTTTATTTTTATTTCGAAACTTAACGTAAACCAATAATAAAGTTATTATGTTTAATTGCGTATTTTTGTGGTGAAAATTAGAAAAAAAAAAATTAATATTATAAAATATCCTTATTCATTCAACTTTCATTTATTCAGTTATTATTTAAACATTTTTATTAAGATTTCAATAATTTAAATCTTTGATTATAATTACTATAATAAAATATTTTAACATTATTAAAAATAAATTAAACGTACAAATACTTTATAAAGCCGTCTACTACATATTTTTAACTTAAATGTAAAGTACTAGTAATTACTAGTACATTGTAACTACTTTGAAAAAGATTCTTGAGCATTCACACTTAAGAGTACTGTATAGAATAAGCCAGTCCAGGTGACTGTTGTATGCTTTTTAAAGGCACCTGAAAACGGTCTTAAGTTATTTTATCTCTTGTTTATTTCTCTCCTTAGTACCGACAGTGGTTTTATTATTTTATTTATTGCAGTTTTTTTAAAAGAAGTTAGCACCATTAATTATACTACACGGTCAACGTTCTGAAAATGAGAAGGAGAGAGGAAACCTTGTCGCGTGCGCCAGCGTTTACATTTTGTCAAACAAATGACCTTCCATCCCTTCGCATATTTTTTGCTGTTGTTGCCTCTCTTGTCATCGCACAATTACCCCGTATCACTGAGGTGATAGACTATATTCTTTACACCGTAAGTCTTTTTTTTTTCGTGTATTTTTATCCCTTAACAGAATTAATCTGATGTTCCGTGATTAACGATATGATGTAGAATTTAGCATTACCGGTAGTCAAAAAATACTCTTTAAAATTCACCAACAGAAATCTGTTTAAGTTTTTTTCTTCCTTTTAATGTCTATTGCTAGTAAGATTAACAAGAAAAATGATTGATGCGCTTCTCTCAACCACAAAAATTACTGCAATATTTTCGGTAAATTTTTCGCTATAATTGGTAAAAATCCTTAAAAAAAAAACACTCATTATCTACCAAACTATGTTCATGAATGCAGTTTATAGATAAATTCAAACGTTTGAATCTTACGAATTCATATATCTTCGAAATAGAATACAAGTCATCATAACGCTCTGCAATAATACAAATATAATATTACTCAAACAACTTGTTGAAATTTGATAAGATAAATATTTAAAAGAATTCTATGTTTGAATGTTAGTAGTGTCATGATACGGGAAACTTTTTATCCGTTTTACCTTGCAGGTAAATATTCATTAGTTAAAAAGTTATAAGGTTGGGTTTCAGAAAATAATTTTTATTTATCACCTACTAGAATTAAATAGAACAAGCTGCACACGCCTCAGATGAGAATATTATCCTTAGTTATTTTATAAAAATATTAAGATATTTTTTTGTTCATACATTGTTAAAATAATTAAATAGTTTGACGAATATGGTCCTGAACGATGTTACTGTATTTAAAATGCATAACTGAACTTGCATTAATTTCCATAACTGAAATCACAATCTCCCCTTTCCTTTTGGTTATCATAAAAGTCATTAAATGAATGCGGTGTCTTTATATCTCGTGACCGCCACTTCTATAGCCAAAGTTTACAACGAAAGAAAAAATGTTTCACACTGCTGTCAACAATGGGAGTTTTATGTGAATAAGGGTGAGACATAGTTGGAACGAGAAACCGTTGTTAATATTTCTTTGTAACTAACGTGATTTTGTTAGTGTATTTTACTTTCTAGTTTTTTTACCCACCGATGAGAATGAATCGTCTTTATTATTATCCAAATTGGAGTTCACCTAACTCGTGCTGCTAGTAGTTTAATGGTCGTAAAAAATAACTGCTTACAGCTCTCATCCGGTCTCCCTTCATGGTCGCTTTCCATGAATGGGCATTGAAAGGGAGGAGTGGCAAATAGTAGGAAAAAGTTATTCCCAACTTGAATGTTAATCTTTGTAAAATTTAACATCAGTGGTTTGTTTTGTTACTTGTTAAAAAGACTTAGTTTTATTATATTTGTATTGTATTTATAAAAAACATTTACTGTGCTAACTTTCATAGAATAGATGATATTATTTTAAATAATAGAAAAAATGAAATCAATTTTTTATATAAATTACTATTACGGGTTGATCTTTTCAATATACTTATGGAAATGTGAAATACCAAAATAATATATACTTGTTGACATTTATGAGTAAGTTTAATCTCTTATTGATTCAACAATTATGTACTCAAATGAGAGTTTTGGCCCAAAACTTTTGAAAATATCATGTTTTAAATTTTCTTTGTAAAGTTTTGCCTAGAATTTATTTTGATAGATCTAGGTCTTTATAAGTAATAAAAATATATTTTCTTATTTTAAACTGTTCATCTTAAATTAATGTAATCTTTATAAAATTTTATGAAAAAAGCAATTTTATTATTTTGTCAATATTGATAATATAATTTTCAATTTTAACCGAAAAAAATACATATAAAGAGCCTTTAACCATGTGCATTATAACCACGAATGATTGCGCTTACTGGTTAAATTCAAAATACCTATATTTTTGATACCCAAATTTATACTGTTAGAAAAAACAAAATATTATTATCTGTGACTGGATCGGAATCCTTGTTTGTATGTATGGTCCACTAGGAAATATAAAAGTCCGGCGTAACATTATACGCCGTTATAATACTTTTATATGCATTTTAATATGTATAACTTTTACATGTGTATGTTTATGTGCAGAATTTACTGACTGGATGAGTAATCGATTTTAATTTCCGGCGGTATATTGGATTCTTAGGCGATCGGCTTTCCCATTATTCCGAGAATACAACAACGATATACGAAATGAAACCATTTTTTGCTTTATAAAAAAACTACAAACTAAAGTATTTGCGCAACACGATATGACTTCATTATGCACATACATTTCCTTCTGTTTGTTCGGAAACCAGCTGTTTAATAAAATAGCAAAGGTGTATGACATTTAAAATTATATGCATGCATATAGAGTCTATTTGCATGCATATAATTTAGAATAGTCTCTATATTATAGAAGTGTATACATGAACATCATTCAAATTTAATAACATAGCTCGATTTCCGAATTCATTGTTTGATTAAAAATATAAATAATTATTTTAAATAATGTCTCAACAATTTATTTTGTTGTAATAACACATGGCAACACTAATAAAATTGATTCATTAAACAACCTTGTACAAACATTTACCAGTAAACGTATAGTCATACTTATTAATAGTTTCCATCAATAACTTATGATCTTTTTATAAAAATCCATTTGAAATAAATTTTAGTTAACTAAAATTTAGTAGCTCCCATTTAATGAGTGTTTCTCAACTGCGTTTTATTTTTACCTTTATCATATAACTTTTTACCTTTAGCTCGATTGCATCCATATTTTTATCATATAGGTCGATTTTATCTGGGGCAATTATTATTACTAAATAAACTTAGTTATCTCGTTATGGGCGAATTTTGTATTGAAGGGAGTTCAGAGAGCTTTTGGAACGAAGATTAATAAGGAAATTTATCACTCCACTACTCCCCGCTTCTACAAATTAATGTCCGTCAGGGTTCTGAACCACATGGGTCCCCAAAATACATCACTGTATAACACAGATGTGAATCAACAAGTGCATATCACGATTAAAAGGTTTGATTGGTTGTTAGGCTCGACGAGTACACGCGTTTTTATACAATTTTTCAGGAACGAAGATGATTTTATTGATATTCTGAATAGTTAATACTTTTTACTTCTAAAAAAACGTTTAATTATAATACATTATTATTATAATATATTATAAAACAGTATACAGAAAATAAATAAAAAATTATTAACAAATATTTGAAAAAAGAATGTTTTGAGCTCCTCCTTACAGAGCACCCATGGTAACCATAAATGGACTGGACACATTCGAGCTACTTGTGAAAAACATTTATTATTTTTCGGGACGCATTCGAGCTTTGAAAACAATACTCTATGAAATCTCGGGACGCACTAAGGTGATACCTTTTTGCAGGTGCATTCGAGACATGAGAAAAATTTGGGACGCAATTAGGATTTCCCCGACTAAATTACTACACAGTAATTGTTAAAAAAATAGATTCAAATGTTTCATGGATATTTTGAAATGCAAAAACAGATATATGCTACTCATATTAATATTTGTTGCTTTAACTAATAATTAGTTGGTGTTCATTCTATCAATCATGTTTATTATATTGTTTATTACTCCACATGTAATTGCTTAATACTAAAACAATTAATTGCTGTTTAAATCAGATTTTATTATTTAAACAATTTAATTGTAGAACAAACAATGTTTTTTTTTTCTTACTGTGTGATGTTCATAAAAATCTTTAAGTGTCATTCAATCCAATGATAAAATCTATATTTTTAAAATATTAATGTAGTTATGCCATGAAATTCGTTACTAAATTTCATTGCTTTGTATTAAACGTAATAGTGTAATGGAACCCAACCTCTAAGTACATAAAAAGTTATGACGGAAAACTTAAACCGTCAAGATCGGCCAACCCTTTGTATTTCATTTGCTTTTATTTAGTTAAGAACAACGTAATGTGAGTTCGTGGTCTATATCTTTTCTCTCCTCTTTATTCAATCTCACACAGGCCATTTAAGATATTATTTAAGGGAGACGCTACGGTAAAGTAGCAGTGTTGATGTAATCGCAGTGATTGCACTGCCTGCGAATAATTTAAAACTGTCTGTCTCGTTACTACAACAGTATTCACAGAAGCACTCCGTGTAATTGGCGAATATTGTCCAAAGGCTCAGCAAACTTAAGTACCTAGATTTATTTTTACGATCCTTGGAATACTTGGTTAAAAATTTCACTCTTTTCGTGACACCCGTAGACAAATTATGTATCTAATAGGATAGTTATTAATAACCAAATACTCAAACACTCGACTATTAAAGAAATATTTAAAATATAGATAACCTTCAGCTATAAGTTTAGGATTAGGAATTTATAAAAGTTAATATACAGATGTCTTAGATCTAATTGACAATACTTAAAACTTTTAATGAATTATTAAATCGTTGTTATTTTTTTTTTAAATAATTATTGTTAAACAAATTGTTTAAATGTTTTCACAATTTTAAAATAGCCATTTTATAAAAAGTTCAGCTAGGTTGATAATAAACTTGGCACAAGTACTACTAAGTTACAATCATTTTAAAACATTATTTGAGTATGAAACGCGAGTGGAGTTTATAATTACTTTAAAATAATATTTATTATTATTTGTTTTTAATCAAAAAAATTAATACATTTTTTTTTTAAATTTTATAATAGCTATTTTTAAGCACTTTTCTTACAAAAATGATTAGTGAGTCGATACGATTTTAAAACAAGTAATTATTGAGTCACAAGCATTTTAAAACATGGAGTGGGTATGTAATGCGGTTGAATTATAAATATACACCAGTGCGAACTGTACCCACCCGCGCTACCTACCCACCTAATGTATTAAATGCTTGTAACTTGATAAGTACTACTCTTAAGTTTATTTTCAACCTATCTAATTTTTTTGCAAGAATAGATCTAAAAAACCCAGCACAGTGGGGTGGCGGCACAGTCGGGTCGTGGTATAGTAGTGTCCAGTATAGATGATATCTGACAGTGATTAAAATCACTATCATAAAAAAACGCTTCAATGCAAATCTATAGATAGTGTTTAATTTAAAAAAAAAATTTGTCAAATTAGAGCTGAGAAAATAAATGATATTTACAAAAAAAAACCACATAGTAAAATAATATTAATATGAATTTCTTCTCACAGTAATGACAGTAATGGAATCCTTGATATTTATTGAAGTTATTGAATCTAAATGAAATAAAAATCAAATGAGTTAGACATTTTTTTTTAACTCAAAAAGAATTTAAAAAAAATTCAGTGCCACAGTCGTGAAAGACCTAAGTATTACCGTCTCAAAAAACGTACGTCTCATTCATCACTTAATAAAAATGGAAATTTAGCTAGTTCAAATTTTAAAGTTATTTTTCTCGACTTCAAAAGAACAAAAAAAATTTAAATATGATTAATTTTTTATACTATGTCATTTAGATTGATATAATATTTATGAAAATCAGTGTAATCCCCTTATAATAAAATAAAATACAAAACCAAGAATTTTAACACAATAATAGCATATTTTTAAATACGGTAGCTATTTTCACCATGTATTCTCCTAATAAGATATTTTAAAATAAAATAAAATACAAAACCTAGAATTTTAATAGAAAAATAGCATATTTTTGAATACGGTAGCCATTTGCGCATAGAAGATAGGTCGTGGGGACAAATTTTTTTTTTCATTTCATAGTACATAAAATAAGCTTTAATTTGATATATGTTTAAAGGACGCAGTATTTCCGGAACATTTTCAAAAATTAAGTTGAAAAAGTTAGTTTTTGTAAAAATGTTGCTATTTTAAATCCCCTTTGTGAGCAGAATATGTGTTAGATTTTCAAAAAAAAAATGATATCAAACAAAAGGAAATTACCTAAGGTTTCAATATAAAAATATATTATTTTGATTTGTTAATATTTAAAAAAGTTATGGCAGTTTTAAATACAAAAAACATCCTTATAGAAGGTGATTTTTATCGCAAATATTACATTTTTTTTTAAATTTTTATAATAGCCATTTTTAAGCACTTTTCTTACAAAAATGATTAACGAGTCAGTGTTTAAATGATAAACATGGAGTGGGTATGTAATGCGGTTGAATTATAAATATACACCATTGCGAACTGTACCCACCTGCGCTACCTAATGTATTAAATGCTTGTAACTTGATAAGTACTACTCTTAAGTTTATTTTAAACCTATCTATTTTTTTTACAAGAATAGATCTAAAAAATTACTATTTAAAAATTCTGAAAAACAAAAAAATTTATTTTATTTTTCTTATTATAGACAAATTATAATAATATGCGTTTAAGGTTAAAATTGTAAGTTATTTAAAAAAAAATTTCAACGATAATTATTGAATCAAAAGTCAGTTGCATTGTCAGTTAGATCTTAGACACGCTGTATACATTTTATGTTGACTTACCATCATAAACTTTTTCAGTAAACTGAAAAGCTCAAAGTTTGAAGTCAATCTACACGTGTAACATGTTATTCATATTTGCTGAGCGTCCAAATCTAAGATACTCTTTAATCACGAGGGATTTTCATTGAAAAATGTTTTTTGATCTTTGCGGTTATTTTATTTCGGTCAAGCACCGATTTTCAATGAAAACTATAATATATAAAGTGTATTTATAATACACTATGAAATACATAACATTATTTTATTTTTTATAGAATATCAGAGAAATGCAACATAACTTTTAAGTTGTCAATTAATAGTTTAAATTGTATTGTTTTATATTTCATTTAAAAAATAATAATAAATGAAATTTATTGATTTTATATTATATGATAATTTTTATTATTATATAATTGTAGGAAGTTGTTCATGATTTTCGATGGAAATATCAAGAAAAAATCATAAAATAAATTCAGCGATTATTATTACTTAAAATGAAGTTTTAATAATGTTATGGTTATCTTAAACTTATTGACTTGAAATTAAGTTTTTATCTTGTTTTGTTTAAATCAAATGACATAGATAAGTTGGGTGATTTATTGACTTAACTTAATAAAATTTTAGCATTTTATTTACAACTACTTACTTCGTTCAGACTTGAGTTAATGAATTTGATTTCTTTGGTAATTGTGAGCGGGTTAATGAGGGATGTCGCCGGAAGCTTAGGTATACCAACAACGAAAAACATCCGTCAGCCTTGTCTTATTAGCGGATATCCTGATGAAGTTGTTTTTCAATAAACGCCGTTGTCTTCCTAAAACCCTTATTCAACATTGATTCTTATCGTTTAAAGAGAGAGTTATAAACGCCATGGTGGTTTGAGTAAGAAACAACACGAGTTAATCATACCCTGGATTGTGTTGTGTTAATAATTGCCGGCGCGTCCGGAAGTCCTTTTCGGGTTGCCTCACCACAATCTCGACCCGGGTAAATTGTGCCAGTGATATTATTAGTTTGCGATACAAACTTTAAGCACACAAGGTAGCAATAGGAGGGAAGGGTTTGGGCGATTTACTCTAAGGGGTGTCGTGCAGAGTCAAAAGACAAACGTCACAACACAATATTAAATCGAACCAGTGTGGGATAAGCTCGATTTAAATGTTGTTCCTTTCCTCGATCCCCAAATTATTATTGTTGACGCTGTTGCCATACTTAGTGCAACTTTATTTATCTGCTTTTATGTACCATTTCCACGCATATGTATTTGTTGCAAGTATTAAGAAATGCTTTGACAGAGGTCATGTGGAAATCGTTTAAAATTGTTTATCAGTTATTACTATTGTATAATATTAGACCGAAATTATTTCTGACTATTCTATTATTTAGCTCAATCCTCATTTATACTATTGACTATTGGCCGCAATAGTATTTGCTGAACAATTCAGATTAATTAAGTTATTTCGCCAAGTATCAGATTTACATTTTGCGAGGATATTTATTCGGTTATTGTTAGAAAATATAGATAAATATAAAAATCGTTTTAAAACGTATTTATTTAATAAATATATTACCCAGCCCAAGAGTATCGTAGTTGATGCCCAAACATTTTAAATACTCACGCTTTGTATTACAATATTATTTTGGCAAAGTATTCCTAATTCTATTATAAATTACAAAAACAACGAATACTTATACTTGAAAATAAATGTTTACATTAAAATAGTGGTGTTTATAATAAATGTACACCCCACAGTGTCGTTAAGTATTAAAATCTATATCAATTGCATAATTTAGATTCATTAATATTTTTTTTTTTTTGTTAGATAAGAATTTAAAAAAGTATGTATAGAATATTCGGGAAAGTATTCTGCCCAAGTTATTATATTTTTGGTTAATAAAAATTATGAAATAAATATGATTTTCGATTCGTATTACATAAATATATTGTTTTAGAAATTCTTGTTTTTAGAATCCGTTGTTCAATTCACTTCTGTCGCACCAAAGAATAATGTTTTTTTTAAACATCATAACTGTTTGATAACATATGCGAAAAGAGCAATAACGGTAGTAAAAATAATAATGTGAACTACATAAAATATGGAAAACGATTACAAAATCCATTTGTGATGTAGTATTTTTATTTCTCTATTTATTTTGTGTTATTATTGGTAAAAATATTCAATATTCAACATTTATACAATCTTTTCTATACGACGAATCAATAAGCATGGCAAGTAGTAATGGTTTAAAATGGCCAAGAACAAAAATAACTCGAGTGGCCAATAAAACATAAACATCCACAAAAATTTTATTTTGCATGGGTTACTTATTAAGTAAACACGCGCCAACCTTATCTAGAGGTCGCGTAGGAGATAATACATCTGTCACACATGTGTCATATGTCAAAATATTTATACGTCGTAAATCTTTTCTTCTAGCCGTTCAAGCCCATCGGGTGTTTTCTGCTGTTCGAATCGTTTATTAAAATATGCATAAGTATATTTTAAACTTTCCTTTGCACTAAAACCTCACTATAATTAATCCCAATTAGTTATCTTACTATTCAGTCTCTTATGTCTGACTTATTAACATTGTTAGGTAGACATTATTTACTTTACTGGTTACAAATTATTAATACATAATGGTTTTAGTTTAGAATATAAAACTTGATCATTGGGCATCCGTAAGTAATTTTTTGATCAAATTCAAAATTACTACTTAACAATAAGCCGTACAGTAGCATAATGACTAGCACCAGTATTTCGTGACAAAAATCATTTATTGAGTATGAAAAGTTCGTAAGTTGAAGTTAAAGATCACATTTCTTGATGTCTCGAGAATGTTTTCAGCGTCTCGTCAGCGATTTTGAAGTGGCATCCAAAATTATTTGATAACTTATTCCGAATAATAATGTTACCTGTTAATTATTCTCGTGAATTTCTGATAGTAAAATGTTCGTTTTCATTAGAAAATCTATTGACAACTCATAGTTTTATCACAGTACATATTCAATTTATTCGTCAAGTCGGTCAGAAAAAGTTTTTAAAACTTATCTTAGCATACATTCAGTATCAAACTTGTTTAGGGAAAACTTTAGTGACGTGCCGAGCATTTTCTATAAAGGGAGGGACTTGTTTTTATTACTATAGAGAAAAAAAAATGTCGATGTGTAATAGATAATTTTTCGTTGCTTAAAAAAGGTATTTTTACGTATAATAACTCTTTTTGCGCGAAAGCTTGTTGAGACATATTGAATTTGTGCGTCTAATAGAATCAGAGTGAATTGATCGAAATCCGACCATCTTGTTTACATTAAAAATTAAAAAAACTTGTGACACACACGCGTTGTATAATATGTTTCTATTTTGTTTTCCAGTGATTATGGATGATCCAGAATTTACGGAACCTATAGTGAACGTGACTGTACCCGCAGGACGTAGTGTGAAGTTAGGCTGCTCTGTCAGAAATCTGGGATCATACAAGGTTTGTCATATTTTTTTATACATCGGAAATCGAATACGTGCTTAATATTACGATACCGTTTTTGTTTTTTTCATTTCTCCCCTCATACTACACCAAAACCAGAATCCATTATTTTGATTGAAACTCCAGAAAGAAAACGCGCTCTCTTCACACACTGTCACCACACGTGATTTTGTGAATCAGCTGCTGCGTATATTTTATTTACCGTCACTAAAGTAATACTTCAATCAAATTTTTTACAGCAAAAAAATACATTTTTTTCCCCGAAACCATAATCCAATCTAAAGTCAGTATTTATTTATATGAATTACACGAGTACTAGTAAGTGTACACTAGTTTATTCGTTAGATATCTTCTAATTTTAGGGACTCAGTTTTTAAATATTACAGTAGGTCTAATTCTTAGGTCACGAATAACAGTTTTGTAGATCAAGAATAGTTTCTGTAAGTTTTTTGTTGTTTCCAATAGATTTGTTGGTAAACGTACAATCAAAACCAATTAGTATCAATAATATTTAATTTATGTACTCAGAATAATTGAATACAACTTTCTTTCAAAAGTCATGCCGTTAAATTTAAAATGCTCAATATTGTCGTCTAAAACTAATGGTCTCATGTTAAATCTCACTAGATTGTGTTCTTTGTTCTTATTGTTAAACGTAAACAATGATAAATTACACAACTTGTAGTCGCTCACTGCGGTAATACAAGTTAAATGTTTGTTTTAAACACCGAGTTTAATTAGTTTTTACGTTTTCTTTTAACGCTAGTCTGAAACTTAATATAATTCTTACATAGCCTCTTGTTCTTACAAAGATTATTACTATGAAAACGAATTTATATTTTTTTGAAACTGATTGTGTTATTAGAATTATTTTACTGCATTTTCTGTAAAAAAAACTATAGTTTAGATAGCATCACTTATCACCAGACCCGTCGTTAGTGGTGGGCATTGAAGGCATTTTCTGGCTTATCAAATTTAATTTATAAAAAAAAAATTACAAGTTGATGTGACTGAAAGCAGCCTTGATTATTACAATTTTAAAATTACATTACATACATTTCGAGCGATAAATGAAACTAAAAATAAATAAAATAAACTAGACTTTTCTTATGTGCGTGTGCGTTTAAAACTTTGAAAGACCCTTCTAAATTAAATTCGATCTAAATGACTAGAACTCTATTCCTCGTGACCAAATAAATATAGACAAACTATTAATAGGTTAACATTGTTTAGTATATAAAACAAGACCGAGTATTAATGTCCAGATTTGAAATAAAATAAAACAAGATGAAATATGAGAAAATAACAACTATTATATCATCGTAGTTGTTATTAGTAAATTTAAACTTTTTTAAACACAAAAAAAATGTGAATTATTTGTTATTTTCAAATCATTGTTTTACGCAGTTTTTGAAAAATTATGATCTTCAATATTGTTTGTCCTATTTCACTGAAAGTTTACTAGCTCATTACCATAACCCAGCATTTATTGCCACGTATGTGGACATTTAATCTTCTTGAAGTTTCTGATTTTAAAAACAGTACAACCGTATAATGTATTACACGGATAATTTTTCTTGTCAGGGTGTCACGTTACGGCAGGTGTTTGTATTTGAAAAACCAAAGTCGACATTATGCATATAGACGTCTCAAACGCTGGTTGTTGTATCATGGAAAAGGGGACAATTGAAGTTATACATAAAACGACAAATCCGTTCAAAAATGCCAGTAGTGGAGGATGTTCATTCTGTTATGCTACCGCACATCTGTATAATTCTCGTCTAGAGCACGTGTGCTGAATTTTGATTATTTTCCTTTTTTAAATAAACCAATTCTTCACCGTAGTGACTTGAGACCTGTCACATATTTGAATACTCATACAATTATCAATATGAATGCAATTTAATGATAATGTTATTTTTTCTAATATTATTTAAATCGATTTGTAAGCCGTATTTTTTCTTATTAAAAGTTTTTCAAACAATTACACGTAAAATTTACTGGCAAAATATACTTGTTAAATACACAGACAGCTCTTGTGTTTGCTTTAAACCATGTTGGCTTTTTTTTTTTTTTTTTCTAGACGATTATGTGTTTATACAGATTAGTTACTTAATGTATGTATACATCTTTATATTCAGTATGAAAAAATTTTAATTTAAAAATTAGGAATAGTTAGTGAAAATATCTATTTGGTTTTATTTGTAAGAGTTAGTTATTATGATGACGTTATAATGATTTATTACGCTCTTTGTTGTTGACGGAAACTTAAAAATTTTTTTGTTGTCTTTGCAACACCCCTAAATTATTATTTATGTCTGGTCTGGTTTACTTTTTTCGTCGCACCTTAGACTTTGTAGTTTTAAACAGGCTCTTCATTTTCGTAAGAAGGCTACGAACATGCAGTGATGTTATAAAAAAATCTATCTGAAAGTTGTAATTGTATGGTTATATTAAAGATAGATACGCAGGAAAGAACGCCACCTGAAAGTAATTGGCCAATTTTGGTATGCTCCTTCTCTATTTGTTTGCCGGGCCGACTGAATTTTTTTATCGTTATTATTACATTTTCCGCGATAGGACCGCAGGCGCTGCATTAATTCAACCGACCAATTTCGGGACTCCTGTTCACTTTTTATACTTTAAGTACAGTAATACCTTTATTCCGATGTTACGACAGTAGAAAAAGTAATAATAACAATAATGATAAAATTGCTAAACAAATGTTTTATCTTGTCTCTTAGTTAAACTTTTTCTCCTTTAAGTATGTTTACAGTCCCCTTGTCCTTTTAAACTTCAATCTAGTGATTTATCAAAATACACCACACAAAGGAGAGATGAGTAACATTTCGGTTTATTCATCGAACAGCCAAGCCATATTATATGTACATATCGATTTAAATTTGTCATAAAATATAAAATACACAAGCAGATACCTGTTTTTTATTTGCCGTAGGCTTATGCTGTAATAATATGTTATTTGTTCCCTCATTCAAACAGATTTATTTTTTATCAATATGTGCTATTAATATTTTTCCTCTAAGGCAACAATAAATTGTTCTAGACTTTAAAGACGAAACAAGATATGTCTAATGTAAAATTCGATATATTACTAAAACTGGAGTTTTTACTATAATTTGAGTATATTTAATTTTCAGACATTTTTTATGAAGTTAAATATCCTTGATACATTATTTCCGTTATTTTAAAATAATTATAAATGAATGCTTAAATAAGCATCTGTAATTGACACGAAAAAACAAATAGTAGTAAAATTCATGTAATCAAAAATATCACGAAAACTTATCTAAAATATGTTGAGTCTTTAATAAAATAGTTTCTTGTTTCAAAAATCTAATCGTGAATAATAATGAATAAGCGCATTTATTATCAAATTTCTTAACAAAAAATTTCCTATTATAATATTATATCAGTGATAGAATCACGCAAATTAATCATTTTTATAGGAAATGACCATTACATCAAAAAAAATAAATTATTTTTATAATAATTACCTTTGTTAGTATGAGTGTGGACAGTATAATTAAATATACAAAATTTCACAAAAATTGATTGTGCATGTATTAAAATAAAAATCTATTCTTCTTTTTATCCTTCTTGATCAAGTTACAGAACAGTAAAAATTCTATACAAATTTTGATAATAATTTAATACGTTTATCTCTGTGCCTTTATCTTTTAATAAATAACCAAATTTACCAATTAATTAACAAATAACAAATACAAATTAAACAATTAATTCTGTGTTCTGTAAAATCTTGCGATTGAAGTTTATTACTGTGATTTAAACGTGAAATTTCTCTAACGGTATTCTTTAAATTTTCTTCAAAGAGGGACTGTCCCTTCCAGAAAAATGCCCGAAAGAAACCCTGTTATCTTTTAATAAATTATTTTGCATCGAAGTTAATACTTGATGTTATATAGGTAGCATGGATGCACTTTGAACAGTCGGCTATATTAACGGTGAACAGTCATGTGATAACAAGAAATCCGAGGATTACAGTGTCACATGATAAGCATCGTACATGGTTTTTACACATAGGCAATGTTCAACAAGAAGATCGCGGACGCTATATGTGTCAAATAAATACTATTACAGCTAAAACACAAATAGGATTTTTAAATGTAGTCGGTAAGTTTTTTAACTGTATTTCAGTAGAAAAATATATAAAATCAATCAATTATAATGCGTAAGGAGGTAGAATAATTGGGAAATATTAACAGATATTTTTTATGTGATTCTAAGAGTTCTATTTTTGATAAAAACATAATAAAATGTATAATTTCACACTGCTGTGATACATTATATGTATATAGTATTAGGGGTCCGTTTAATACTTGGGAATCTTGGTCAAAATCAAGAATCGGAAGCCACCCGACATGTTCCCAAATATTGTTCCTCTCTCGTTAGATCAGTTTTAATTACTCGAAAGAGCCACAGGTTATTGTGTACCCTAGTTGCTTAGTGAGATATTATATAATAAAGTTAAACTATTGTTTTATGTCAACGACAAAGTAAAGTTTTATTTTTGATGTTCAGTAAATATAAGTTACATGTAATTTACAATAAGTCTGACATGAGTCCTAGTACAGTTGGTTAGTAGGTATATCCAAGTGAGACGGAGTTGGTTGGCTATGATGAAAATTGGCGATAGACGAGTCGTCGAATAAAATAAGTTAAGGTTTTAACAATGTAAATAAGACAAAAGTGATGATATCGAAAACTATATCTATAACGGCTACTCAAACACAACTGCCCCTTTGTTAGTTCAACGTCTGTAGCTCTGGGTTACAGACGAGCAGAAGTGTCACGTCAGCACCTCCTTCTATGCTAATTAATATGTATTTCGAATTAAGTAAAACAAAATACAATGTGTATAATATAAATGGCAAGAACATAGTAATAAATGTTCTTATAATAGATACATACAAGTAATTTATTTAATGTAAAAGGTTATTTAGTTGAAACTTAATTTAATGCGTTTGGTACTTTATTAAGTGTCTAAAAAAAGAAAACCCAATTGTAAAAAACTAGATTATGTAGAATTTTTTAGATAAAAAAATTTCACGTATTCTTTGAGTATTATCATAGAATGTTTATCAAATCGTTTTCGATTTGTTTGACATTTTTTGAAGTTCCGATATAATTGATATTCATCTTGCGTTTAAAAACATTTTGTTCAAATAAAGAAGAAAGAAGACTTACTGAAGTCTAAAGTAACTGAATATAACCTTAGTAAGTCATTCCACAGTGTCAAATTAGTGTAATGCTATTAAAAGTTGTTTTTCAATGTTAATTTTTAATTAACAAATTGAATAACTCAATGATTGGAAGTAATGAACCAAATCAGTATCGTTAAAGAAAGAAGTCAGCAGAACATGTTGATAAAAATTATAAAATTATTTTTTAGAAACTGTCAATTATCATAGACGCTATTACAGTAAAATTTTTAAGGGTACTAAATGTCTATGATTTTTTAAAAAATTTTAGGGTACCTGATTTTTATCTGTAGTTAAGCCCCCCTAGCTTTCCTAATGACATCTATGCCGAAAGAAAGTCTAATAGTTATTTAAGAAATCAATAATTTCTTATTTTTAAATTTCATCCTAATTTTTATAACGTTTAGAATTAATGAAATGGAAAAAAGCCAAAACACCGAGAAATTTAAAATCCGAAATAAATGTACGCTGTCGACGTTTGGGGTTGATTTTCGTGACCAAAAATAAAGGCCGTCGGTCACGTTGGCTCATAAATAATCCACGGCCATGACGTGTCCCCTTAATTGGCGATGATATTTCAGAAGGTGTTGGCAGCATCGTATAAAAGTTTAACTTATACAAATCCCTGGTGCGCGTATTAATTCATAATTTGCTTTTGGGTAAAAGAAGAGAGTTAGTAGGTGCAGGCTGGACGAAAGTTGGTGATGAAGCAAAGGGATTCTAACTTTGAATTGATTGCTTGTCACCAACCATGTGATATATCATTTACGACCACACTGACAAGCAAACCACCTGGAGACCACGCCGAGCTGTTCTTTTACCTCTCTCAATCCACGTTTATGAGCCATAGCCTATATAATATGTACAAGCATGCGTTGATGTATATTGTAATAATAAATCTTTAGCGCGTTATGTGTAATACCTGCGTTTGAATAAAACTAATAAAATAGTAGGAAATTCCGGCAGCTTTTTGATTTTTTTTTTTTTTTGTTAGATTTCACAATATTTTATTGTTAATTTTCAAGTAATTTTTTGTACAGACTTAAATAGAATTTCGATTATAATATTTATTAAAATTCACATAGAATGATCTACCTTATTTGTTTTCGTATGTTTACAAAAAAAAAAATTATTGAAAATGATAAAGAACATATTGTGTCATTATGGTCAATAAAGATCATCTTAAATAAATATAACTTAGTAAGTTACGTTTTTATAATATTTATGACGCCTAGTAAAATCAAATAAAAATTTGAAATAAATATAAATATTGGTCATATTCGTGTTTTGTTAGAAAATTATTGATCCAGAAACATGTTTAGTTTTACCGTATTTTTCTACTGATTGGTCCTCAACTCTTTATAACACTGGCAAATTGTTTTAATCGAATTCCATTTAAATTAAATTGATTGATTTTCAAAAATGTCTATCATGTTTACACATTGGTTGTATTTAAAACACTGCACGATTATTGTACTTTTCATTTTATTGGTTTATCTACAGATTTTAAATCGTGTTTCCTATAGGCTTATGAAATATTCATTACGTATACATTAGATAATGTTCATTACAATACTCACCACTCGAAACTCTAGAATTCTTTCTTACAATTGTACAGGTGTTTTTTTTTATTCGACGTCAGCGAAAATTTTTATATTTAACAAATATAATGCCACACATTTTGAAATATAAAAAACAAATTCAAAAAATGTTTAAAGTTACTTAATAGTTAATAAAATCGTGACAATTTCAATATGCAAAATTTGTAATATGTATATAATATATATATGTATATATATATATTTGTATCATTATTGTTTTTAATACATAATAGAAATACTCACATTTTTATGATATATTACTTTTACTTTTATTGTAAATAACACTACGGATTATTGTAAGTGGAAATTGTTTTATGTTTACTAAAAAAAATTAGTTGCCATTATTCCTTGTGGTTCTTTTTCGCTCGTATTTATAATACATATAAATAAGACATGAAATGGCTTTTAAAAGTAATGCGAGTTATGTGATTGTCCTGAGGGTCCTTTGAGGCGATTCATAAACACATTCGATATCGTTATCTTGGCATAGGTAAAAATACTTGCTGTCTTGGTCACTATATGTTATTACATTATCGTTACGAAATTCAGGAGTCTTCGTATTACTCTAGAGAGACCTTTTTGACTTTTCTGAACAACATATTTATATGTGAGTGCATTTGTCCATCTCGAGATTTTAAGAATGGACACGTGATAATGGAACACGGACTACATAAAAGCACATAATTTCCGTTGTTTTTTTTCAAAAGCCAACAGAAAACAAAAATAATATACTAAGTGAATAATATGCTTTTTAAATTTTGACTTGACCGTAATAATTTTAATATTACTCTAAAAAAATGTTTGCACGTGGTGGTTAGCAATGGTGTATCACAGTAAAAAAGTTTTCGAGTATGTACATAAATAGCATAAATAGTACAAAAGTATTATTTTTTTAGGATATACATTAATTTAAAAAATAACGTCATATAACCGCGTAAACCCCAAAACACCATTGGTAGTTATTTGCGGAATTTTAGTTTTAAAATATTAATTTTGGTTTCAGTCAATCCAATCTCCCAGTGATTTATTTTAAATTAATTAAAAATAGTTTTAATAGGTCAATTAGTAATAACTTTTGAATATAGAAACTAACTGGATCAATATTACCATTACTTATTCATTGGAATCATTATTTTGTAAATTGAACTAAACTAAAATAAGTTTGCCTAGATTTGTTAATTTTTCCCCTTTTTGATTTAAAACTGCTTATAGACTAAAAGTATATAAAAGTTTTATAATATTTCATATAAAAATAAAAAGTCGAATAAAAAGTTTTAAGAAATTCTTTTTCTTCAATTGGCAAAAATGTTTTTAATAAAAAATAATGATTGAATTATTTCTCAGTTTTAAAAAGCAAAGAAATTATTAATAGCATGTTCTACTAACTTCGAAAAAAAAAATATTCCTGATACATAAATATTTCTAAGTGAAGGTAAATATATTATATATATAACAAATATTTTGCGTTCAATCTTTTAAAAATAATTAATTTTTGACCACTTTAAAAGTATATTTTTATTATTTTTCTCTAAAAATAAATATGTTTTTCATTTCTAAAAACCCATTTTTTAGCCCTTTTCTTAGAAAAAATTTTGATGAGTCCATAACAATATTAGGATAAGTATTTATTATAATATATATTTTAATAGATAGAGTGGACATGTAATGAAGGTGGTGTTAGGAAATAGGTCAATTTTTATAAACAATAAAAACAATAGAAATCCGTTTCCTTTCTTACTGAACACCCTGTATACATTATAAATATACCCAGCAAGCACACTACATACCCATTTTATGAATTAAAATGTTTGTAACTCAATAAGTACTTATCAGAAAGTTATTATTCATATTAATTTTTTGTAAACAAAAGGGTTAAAAAATTTTTTTTTTTGAAGTTTTCGAAAAATTATAAATAAAAAAATTTGATTTTTTCTTTTTTTTTATTATAGATAAATATAATTTTAACGTAGTCAAATATTGTATTCATTTTTTTTTTTTTTTAATCCAACATAATGAGGACGTGGCATAATAAGGAAAAGCATAGATGATATCTGACAATGATGAACATCATTATCATAAAAAGTACTTCAATGCAAATCGGTTAAATTTCATAAATTATAACATAAAGTTAAAAATAATTTTAGGAGCATTAAATAAAAACTGCCTCGAGGTGCTTAAGTCCTTAATACGACATTGCTATCTAGCCTTTGAATTAACTTAATAAAATATTGTCAAGACTAACAAATTTTATAAACTCTTCGAAGTTTTAGATATATATTGCACTTTTTATTGTTCATTAGAATTGATTATATATAACCCTTGATTATAAAATTATGAGCACAAAATATTTATTTAATGATTAGTGATTTGTAAAATAAAGAATGTACTATTATTGACTATTGTTGATATTATTTTTTAATTCAAAAATAAACACACATTTTATATTTTTCTATAGTTTAAATGATAATTTATTGTAAAATTAAAATATTATTGGCCGTAATGTATTATACGACAAAATGATATACAAAATATTATAAATACATCTGTGTGTCATACTTTCATTTTGTCGTATGTTTCACGGTATGACCAAACATAAAAACAAGAGATTATGTTAAAAAAAAAAACAAAAAAATCTTTGCGAACATGTTCTTCCTCGACCCACTACCGGGAAACTTCTCGATCATTCAGATAATCCATGATTAATACTTATTACACAATACTATAACCTAATAATTAACAAGTCAATGTTTAAAAATCATAATCAAAATGAATAAATTACATGTATATATATTTTGTACATACTTCAATTTCTATAAAGATAAATTTGCCATTTTTTATTCTTATAACCTTATATTAGGATTGTGGGCATCATTATCTATACTTTTCACTACAAACACATATCTAATACCGCCAAAAAATAAGATTCACTAAATAGGAATTTGCCAAATCTCTCGATTCTAGATTACGAATTAATAAAGGTATTGATAATTGGCAAATTTATGTTGCCTTTTAGATATAAATCAATATTTAATCATTATTGTTATATTTTGAATCCGTTTTATAGTAAAATATTAAGCGAATCAATATGAGATTCATTACATTAATCATAATATGATTAATATAAGTTTAATATATTATACTAAACTTTGAAGTATACTGACATTTTCAATTTACCAAACTAAAACAAAAGTTGCAATTTTAATATGAAAATAATTTGTATTTTCTTGGCGCATATGTTCTTATTATGTGATATTTTTAATCTATAGAAATATAATCATTAGTCTATGTATTCACAAATAAAGCCTCAGTGATGCTTACTTAAGTATCGCAGTATTTGTAGATACTTATACTTAACTCTCTTAAGTTGATCAGATGAGTATCAAATCGAATCAAGGATAAATAAAACAAGAATCAAACGTGTAAGACAAATAGTCTCAGGTAATCCATGATTCCAGCATTATTTATTTTGTTCACTACTGCCTACACAAATATATAAATAAATATAATTCATATTTTATAAGCACATAGAAATAAAAATAATTACACTTGTATGATAATTTTTGCGTGAAATCTGGAGAAGGGACTAGTACTTGATACGCTTCGATGACAGATTCAAAGGCGAGTTAGCCATGTCGTAGTTAGTATTTCAATTACACTCGAGAAATATAACGACGACTGATGTTAAAAAATTTAATGATTGCATCATATTCAAAAGAAATGAATCACAAATTTATTAAAATAATTATTATACTATACCAAAATGTGGTTATTTATAAGGCTGATGAAATATTTGTTTAACAAATTAAACAAGATTTACTTTACAAATACCTAAAATTATCTGTTTTTTTAAATTAGGCTATGTTATGGTAAAATATTGCAAAAATATAGAAAATCTTTTTTGGGGTATTCTTTCGAAAATCTGTTATTTAATTTACCATAAAACAGAAATATTAATTGTTCACAAAATGTTCTATTTAAAAATGGATTTATTATTAGTACTATTTAAGTAGTGTTTCATCCGAAGATCGATAAAATAACGAATAGTCAATTAAATGAATGATTATGTTAATTAAATAAATATGAAAATTTTCTTATATAAACTTGAAATTTGCACGGTCGGACATTCATGGCGTGTTGGAAAAACACAATAAAAGATATCAAAACACGGTGATATTGCCAAGCGATTTTTTGGTATTTTTTTCATTTCATACACATTTAAACGGCGAGGAAGGAGTGCCTGACGTGTAAAAGTCCAAAGGCTAGCAATAAAGGACGATAAAGGGGAATAAAAAATAGATTAGTAAGTGAGGCACGTTTTGCATTAAGGCCAGCGGCGTGTGAAAGGGGCTTAGGGGTGCCATATACACTATGGAAGCGGACCAGTGCATCTACCCCTAAGCTACTTCTCGCCATATGGCGTGTGTGCGCACTCACTAGTCTTATCGGAATTCTACTCACACGTCTCACTCTTCTGACCTTCGAAGAAAAAAAAGAATATAATATGACATATTGCTAATCTTTATTGCCGACGTCGCGTACACGTTTTCAATAAATATAATATTAATAATTATACGGAGGCGGTATTTTATCTAGACACCAAACTTTACCTAATGCCACTTGTTTTATGTAACCACTAGTTGGGAAACAGTATTTTTTCTTCTTTTGCGTAAAATACTCACAGAGCGAGTAAATTACCTAAATTTTTAAACTGGAATAATTAAAAGGTTTTGAGTACATCTGTTCTATTGCTATTGAATTATATTAAAACTTTTGCTATGAACATTTATCATTTAAATCAATATGAAATGTCAAAATTTACATAAACCCACAATTGAACTATGCTGTTAATAAGTATTCATTGAATTGAGAAAATCGATTAAAAAGTTACCTTTTTAATTGAACGCCGAACAGTTAATAAATGTACCCATTTGAGGAGCTAGTGTGTTGCTTTGTTATTGAAAAAGTTCGGTATAATAGTTTAAAGCTCTCAAAGCTGATGGCACTTTATGTTTCGGATGATTTTTTAAATATTTCATGATATCTCTTTTGCCATTTTAGTATCTTGTATTTAAAATTTTAATTTCGCTTCATTATAAACTATTCATTAATTAGCTTTTAATTATACTCATATGACTTATAGTAGTATAATATTATTATTAATAGTCTTACTCGAATATTATCTGGTGAATATTTGCTTTGTCCAAACTCAAAGAAATTTTAATATTTGTGTATTAACACTTGTTATTGTATCACTGTATTATTTTGTAAACTCTATTTTTAAACAAAAAAAGTACTGTTACAGTAAAGTAAACGGTACACAAAAAGATCATTTGGAGGGCATTTGTAGTGATGAATCACTGTCATGAAATAATGAATGTATTCCATTTTATGTATTTTTCGAATAGAAAATAATGAAAATCTTACTACACAATTGTAATGTGTTATTTCTGGTTTTGCATTATATAGTTATAAAACAATTTTAAATAAATGATATCAATGAAAATAATTATAGCTCTTATTGTTGTTTTATATGTCGCATTAATAATTATCAGTATAGAAAATGCCTTTTCGTTTTTGTTTGTTTAATTTTAATAATTTTTTTTGTTACAGTTCCACCTTCAATTTCAGACTCGCTAAGTAGTTCTGATGCCATTGTGCGAGAAGGCGCTAACGTTTCATTAACATGTCATGTAGATGGGTTCCCTAAACCCGAAATAAAATGGAAACGCGACGACGGTGCACAAATCAACATAAACAAAACACTAACCGGTAAAATGCTACATTTTGTTTTATTTTGGATGAACATTTCACACACATTTTTGTACAAAAGGCAAGGTTACTCATTATGGCTTTTGTACTCAATAATTGATATATTTGCGGTGGTATCATTGTCTCTTCGTGGCTAAACACGTGGTAATAGTACAGAATAAACGTTACAGGATCCTGGGTAGTTTGGATGACTATACAAAAGTTTTACCTCGGTAAACTTACCCGTCCCTATATTGAAACAAATGGAAATATTAAACGTTAACAACAATAATTATCATTCCTCCGGTTAGTGCGTGTATAATGTTTTTGAGATCGGCGGGGCCAAGAAGAATTTGTCTTATTCGCTTCCCAGACCCCGTTTAATTGGAACAATAATAACCGAACAAGATTGGGGCAGGGGAAATTTTAATAGCGACAGTCCTTATTGATAGCAATGAATCATTGGCAGTGTAGTGGTATCCACGCACACAAAGGAATTCGAAAACTTTTGAAACACCGACCGGCAGCAAAAGTTGAACCGCTTACTCACGTACACGACACTCCTCCCCAAACAACTCTCCTTCGGGAGGGGCCACTATTACCTCTGTTATAATATAAGTCATGTACGCGGTCTAAGATTAGTCGTGGCGGAGAAACACTGTTATCTGTACCCTCCAGCCGTTTGGTAACCCATCCGTAAAAGAACTTTACTGCGATAACAATTATTATTGCTCGTCGTTATATGCACGTTCACGCACTGCAAACAGCTACTATTTGTTTTTTTACAATAATCATTATTTACAATTGTTCACTGGTTTTATTAGTTAGCGAATGGGCTGAACCTACATTGGAATTACACAAGATTAGTCGGCTGGATATGGGTGCATATCTCTGTATAGCTACTAATTCAGTACCGCCATCGGTCAGCAAAAGAATTAAAGTCAGTGTTGATTGTAAGTAAATCTATTCTAAAAAAATCAATATTTTACATATATTTACTATTTTCTGTTGACTTACATTATACCCATGTAATTATACTTTTAGCTACTCGAAAATACATTTGATTTTATCTTTACATACAATATTATTAGATTGAAACTGTATGATCACTTTCCTTCAAATCTCAGGTAGCCACTAAACAAATTTTAAAAAATCGTTGTGTCTGTTGTCTTTGATCAATTATAAAATACAATATATTTCAAATGGTAGTAAGTAATTTACACAATAGCACACATAATGGCCAGATGATAGCGATTTCATTTGATTATATTTTATGAACAACTAAAATGTGGTTTCAATTAATGGCGGAAAATGGTTATTAAGGTTTAGTTATGTTAAATATTTTAATTGTGTCCAGTTGAAGCATACTATAAAATATGATTAGCAAATGATTTTCGGTGCACGTATGAATGATTAGTGTAAAAAAAAAAACGTTTGATTACACCCTGGCGTTGCTCTTGGCGGTGGAAAATGTTGACATGCCCGTCGTAATTGTATTTTATTCATTAGCCTTGTTGAATCAACCACAAAATGCCTCTATACCTGCACATGAATAATGCTTTGTCCAACGTTAATACAGGATGTTGATTTTTCAGTAGCAGTAAACACACACGCTCTCAAAACCACCACAAAACTTATTCAAACAAATATTGTTCGGAAAAAATGAAATAAAACCAAATGCCTCTCATACTTGAACCCGAACTCTTCCCCCATTTTATTCCCATCATGTTTTATTCCCTTTCTTTCGTTTTCCTTTCTGCCACGTTTTCATTTGATCTACAGTTTCCACTATATTTCATTAAAATGTTAATGCACATCCTCCATTATTTATGAATTACACGCGAAAGGACTTGCTAGGAAAAATAACAACACCGTTAAGTATACAAACAATGATACACGTTATACTTTTTCAAATAAATATTTGAATCTTTCATCTCAATTAAAATTTAATCTTAAAATCTGACGTCTTTAAATTTAGATCATAATTTAGTAAAATTTTTTACCTTTCTTAGTATTTTTTTTTTTTTTATGAAAACAAAACATCGAAATCGTTATAAATAAACATATATGAAATAAACTGGAAAGTTTTAAAATAAACTTTTTACGATTATAGTTATAAATATAATTGCCATTGATTGTAATGTTTAGTTGATGTAAATGTGATCATTTAAATAACAAATTAATTCTATCGAAAACATCTCTTGAATTAGTCGCAAAAAATATTTTGATGAATTAGGACTTAAGTCGATTGCCATGTCTGTCGTTCGCGCGACAGCTACCGTAAGTCCTTTCTGTTACGATGGAAATTTTGTCCACGCGGATCGGTACACTTTGGCGAATCAGTATTCTTCAAATGTCACCATGGCGGGGCAATAGATGTAACGAACGAGGTGCGGCGGAAAAACCTTTAAGACAAAAGCGTCCATTAATAATCATTAAAAGGCGTTTACGTAGAATAATAATATTTATAATTCATAATAATATAATACACGGACGCGTGTTATCATAATAGGAGATGCGCCGTACACATAATATAATATGAATATTATATCTTCGGGATCGTCAGGTATTACCGGCAATGTACCGCCAAACTGCGACCCGCGGCAACACAAAGGGATAATTAATCATCGGTTAAATAGCTAGTCGTCAACGTCGCTTCCCCGCCCGAGATTTCTATTTATTTATTTTTTTTATTCGTTCCTCTTTTATTTTAATACCACCCGTGCGTGGTAATGCTGCCGTTAGTCATTCTCACTGCCTTCCTGTCCACCACCTATCCCTTCTCGTGCATTGTTGCAAAAAAAAGTATTATCATCATAATTACAATGCATAACGCAATTGTTTCGTGTAAAATGTGTCCCATCTAACTATTCGCCGTACACGAAAGTCACTTAGGCATTTCTATACATTTGGCACACTGAACGATCACTATTTTCGGTAGGCCTTTTATTTGTTTACAACAAAAACTTTTTTTCATTTACTTTTGATTCATTCTGCGTTTGACATTACGCTTCTTTACATATTTGTATAGATGATTTTTAAAGCTTTGCGTCGCAATTTTAAAAATAAACCGTTAGTATAGAATCGTATCTTTCCAACTTGAAAAAGAAAATTTGATTTTTATCAAAGTTTTTAAATGACATTTATAAATACTCGTTGGTTCGTACCGAAATATCATATCGTTTTAGTAAATGATGATGAGATATAATATTAAAAACAGATGTTATAATAAGTAAAACGGCAAAAAAATAGTAATCACCAAGATACCCTAAATTGATCAATGAAGTTTATTCTATCTACATTGTTAGGCGATTCTGTTTTAAATTTAACGTTTTATGTAAAAATGTATTCTTCCAACTCGATCGTTATCTCTTAAATTGGTCGTCAACAGTCCTCCTCTGGTATCAGATTAATTTTTTTTTATGCTGATACTTAAAAACGTGAATTAATTTTTCCAGAGGAACTCGGTTATTATATTAATTACCATACATTTTAGGGCGTTTATAAATTAAAATCTGTAAGAATAAACTAATTTGATCAAATATTAAATCGCAACCACGAAAATTTAAAACATTTATTACTTTCAAAATACCTTAAATCGTATTAAATCATATTTAAAATTTTGAAAAGTTATTTACGATTGAGAATTTTAGACATGCTACTAAAAATATTAAGATAATTTATTTATAACAACTAATTCTGATTTAAATTTTCCAATTTTCAAAAAAAAATTTGAACTTATTATTTGACGTTACTTTTAACATAATATTTTTTATATTGTTAAATTTGCTTTAAATATTTTTAGTTCCGCCAATGCTTTGGATACCTCATCAGCTTGTGGGCGTTCCATTAGGATACAATGTAACGTTAGAGTGTTATACTGAAGCCCATCCAACGTCGTTGCATTACTGGACTCGAGATAACGGGCAGATGTTGCATGACAACAGCAAATATAAAGCAATTTCAATTCAGGGCATTCCTTCGTACAAAGTACAAATGAAGTTGACTATCATGGATGTGTCACAAACCGACTACGGTGTGTACAAATGTGTAGCGAAAAATTCTCGCGGAGAGACTGATGGCACTATTCGATTGTACAGTAAGTATTTTTTGGATTTTTTACGGTTTTATCTCAAAACGCTTTTTCATAATTAGTAATTTCCAGGGGCAATCTTAGCGAGGGAGTGCTAGGGTGCAGCAGCACCCGTCTTGACCAAGTTGCATTTTTGTTTTTCTAGTTTTTAACTAGTTAATATTCATTGACGAATGCTAATAATAATCGTAGCATCTCTCTCAAAATAATTCTAGAGCAGCCCCTGGTAGTTTCTATACACAAAAACGCTGTCATTATACATTAACCACATAGCACAACATCATTGTGGAATTTCATTCGACCTTTTTTTATCGGCAATTATTCATATTTTATCTAATTTTATTACCATAAGCTTATTTGATTTGTAGTGGAATTAAACAATGTTTTTATGCTGCAAATTATTATGATTGTAATGTTCAGATTAAACATTAAATATCTCGCTTTCTAACTTTTCTCGGCTACTTATAATTTTGCCAAATAACTTAATGTATGATATAATCATGTACAACTTACACGGATGTTAAGACATGAATCTTTACCATCAAAAGCTTAGCATTTCATACAGTATTGCATCCTAATGTTTGCGTGAATTATGTATGAAATTTAACTTGCTTATTTTACGCGTTTAAAATTGCAAGTTGTTTATTCATTAATTGTGTATGTTAATTTATGATTTTTAATACAAATATTATCTGGATACGATATATATTGTCAAATATTATTCATTCAGTACAACGAATTTCAACATTTATATTTTCGCATGAAAACAGCAGATTTTGTAAGACCATAATTCCACAGGCTGATAAAATAGCTTATAACTTAAGGTTTGTTATATTATTCGTACAAATAAAACTTTCATGGCAAAAAAATATTTACATGAATTATAGAAGCCTACATTATATTGAATAAAATGAATATTTAAATGAGGCATATAGTTGTGAACCATAATATTAAAATTAAGTTTCTGTAAATTATGCAAAAGTGTTTAAGTTTTCTTTCTTTTTCTCAATGGAAATCATTTCTCGGCGTATTAAGTGAACACGTGATTTCATTAGAAATCAAACAAGAATAACTGCTGCGATATTTGCTGGGTAATTTGAATTAATAATTCTAGGAGAGGCGGGCGAGGTAAATACATATTCAGGAAATAGGAAACACTGACCGAACTGTCACGTTCTGCGTTTTAAACCGCGTGCAATTTGAATCGATCGTTTTCCTTCCTATAAACGTATGTTTTACTACATTTCGTCGAATAAACCTAGTGAAACCTCAATGAATTTATTTGTAAAGCTTCTCGATCCAGATGCTTTCGATTTCAAATTCGTAATTAACATACGTATTGCCCTTGTGGTTCATTACATTGAAACCTAACCACCATTGTGGTGGTCATGTCATTTGATGATACATCCTGTTCACACGGACGTCAAAACAATTAATTTACCTGAATTTAAGGGCACCTAGTGATGAAAATATTACGCTACGAAACGATTTTCTCTTCTCTTTAAAACATTTTCTAAAACCAAAATTTAGACACAAATGATTAAAGAGGAGAAAAATCATACAGTTGCAAGTACTAAATCTTCTTTTTGAACTCACAAAAAATATTGTTGACTTAATTTATTTAGTAATTTCAACTGATATTATAGTTATACCAATTATATGATTTAATTAATTTAACTATATATTTTATATAGTTAGATAGTCTATATATTTATTTTGTCACTACATTAACCATATATATAAAAAAAATATCCGTGAATAAAGGCAAGAAATATAAAATCTAAATTATAAAGTTTTCATAAAATTAGTTTTTTTACACATTCGTTACAAAACTGTTAATTTTTTTCGTTCATTTGACACCCTCTTTTAATAGCTATGTTTGTCTTTTAGGAAAACTTAGATAAACATTAACAGTGAATGTTAGTACATTTTAATAACTTATTATAGTTACTAATATTAGTTCTTAAAATTTATTTATGTTTATTATTAGAAATACTTTAAACTTTATTTATTCACACAACTATATTTTTATTTGAACGGGAGTTTTAAAAAATAATAATTTTATCTCCTACCATTAGACAAAATTTTGTCATATATTTTGAAAAATACAAAGTTTAATAATAATTTACCTACTGTCGTAATTTTTTTTTAAATTATAATATATAATATTAACGTGAATTATTTATTCATGGTTCGGTTATTTTTAAAATAGTAACTGAATACCTAAAAAGAAAATATTTCATAGTTCCACAAATTAATCAGTATAAGAAAAATTTAACAAGTTTGATTTAATAAAATTATGCTTTTAATAGTGAAATATTAATAAATACAAACGTTTATACACAATATTAAACGAAATAAATTTCAGATTATTGAGCAAATTCAAATAAACTTAATGTATCATTGTTGAAATGATACACTGAATTATTAAAATATTATATTGTAAAGAGAATAAGTTCTTCTGGTAATTGGCTTAAAACGATTTCAGAATTGCTCCATTCGTGAGGCAATGAAATTATTTCTGAATACATTTTACTGTACATTTTGAATGATAAATCATATATTTGGTCAATTGAAAAATTACTAACCAAATTATTGCAAAATATTATTTTTGGATCAATATTTTTATCACATCTTTTGCTATACATTTTATACAAAGTATCAAATTCTTTCTGTAAAATATCTAACATATCTATTTCTGTTTTACAATTATTTTCTATATTTGACTTAAACGTAACAAAATATAAAATGATTTCTTCAAAATCGTTTGCCCAAAATTCTATCAAATCAATTGTTAGTTTCAAAACTATTCCCATTTTATTTATGTAGCTATTCACAAATTCTTGCCGGACTAATGATCTACTTGAAGCTAACCTATTAAGCTTTGCTTTATTACTATTTTCGTTGTAACCTTTGTCACTTTTTGATAAATTGTATGATTCATTAAAAGTTGTTTGTGTTATAGGTGGTTCCCTTTCAAATGTATTGTTAAGATAACTTTCTTGGAATTTTAATTCCCCAATTGTATTGACTAAAAAATTTGGTAAAAGGGTAGCCTTATTTGAAAGAAATGTAATTAAAATATAATTCATTAGCTGCATAATTGTCATCAAATGTTCAAAACCATGACATATTACTGAAGATTTAACATTATTGAATATTTTAAAGGCAAAATTAATTAGACTGTCTGTTGAATTCATTTCTTTTCGGTGTTTCAAAAAATAAAGTATGTCATTACTTATAATTTCTCTTACCGAAGCAATTTGTTCAGTACCTTGTTCCCATTTGGTAATTTTTTGATTAACTATGGCTTCCCAAGTTTTTGAATTTTTTGTATAACCTGTTATTTCTTGAACATCACAAAACAATGATCTTTGTGGATGACCATAACATTGGTTCATTAACGATGTAATGATTAAAATGAACAAGCATAAATTCATGCTAAAATAACTTCTTATATTCGGTATATTTGAAAATGATGAAATATTTCATCAGCGTTGAGTTTTTATATTTTTTCAATCCAATAATTGAATATATAATTGTTGACAAAGTCTGTTTCAGAATTTTCCTACATAAACTATGTATTGTAAATAATAGTATACAACTTTTTTTTTTCTGTTATTCGAATAATAATACAAATTCAAACATTTGAATACATTATAACCTAACTATTAACATTAAAATTACATATCGTCATTTGAATCTTCAAATTTACTTTAAAGGTATTATAACTTGATAAGGTAATGTATAAATGGCATACAATCAGCAAATGTTACTTATTTTTGTGTTCATATAGTTAATAAGCAAAAAAGTCTTTCGAATATTATCAATGAAGGCGAGAGTATGACATGTTTACAGCATTAATTGAATCTCTTAAAGATAGTATTTACTACACAAACTTGAAATTTGGCAGAATTACTACTTGATATATTGAGACTCATTAATTAGTATTAACTATTTTAAGAATTATTAATTAATTAGAAAGAAAGTCAAATTCATAATCTTGCCCTACGCGGGGTCAAGATTTTTTTTAATGAGGCAGTTTGACATATCTTAGCTTAATTTATGTACGCTTAAAAAATGTATTATACAGTTAATTTATTAAAAATACTACATTTGTTGTTTTACATTCTAAGGTTTTAACATGAACGTTCTTAAACTTGAATTTTCTTAAAAAAAATTGTTTGAAATTTTCAATTTTGTTAAAATTAGTAGAGTACTATTGATGTTTTTTTAATTAAAGGGGGAAAGTTGTTTTTTTTTCGTTATTTATATATGAAATATTAGCATTTAAAAGTTTAAAAAAGGTAGGAAACAGAGTAGTGTTTAAAAACACTCTATTTTCACCATAATGCACATATTTTTTAACATTTCGCTCTTCCCCACTTATAAGTAAAAATATAATAGTTCATAAGCAATAATACAACTGGTAATCGACTAGTAAAAATTTTATCTTAATCATTGTCTATTTAATAAAAAAAAAAAAAATAGGTTCCCATTTAATTATCGATAGTAACCCCTAAAACCCTTAGAAATCGTTTTTTACTACAATAAGCTTGACTATTTACTATGTTCTTAAAAAAAAAAAAAAATTTTATTTGTATATTTTTATGAAAAATGTATCATTTAATGAAAAAATGTAGAGAAGTATTTTTAAAAAACACACTGTATATGTGTTTCCCAATCAAGAGAGATGGCCTGTTGCTTCCTTAAGAAATTGTGAATGAACTATACAATTCTTGAATTGGACTATCGAGTAATTAAAAAAAAAGGCAAAAGTTCTATTTAAAACATACATATGTATTAATTTAAATTATTATTGTATGGTTTATATATTTAAACATATTTCCATTAAAAGATCATCTTACCACAAGCGTCAAATTACAAAATTTGTATTCTTAAATAAAGTGTCCCTTATTGCAGTGATTTGGGATTTGACTAATATATTTAAGTTAATATATTTTATAGTTTATAAAATTGCAATGTCCACCCGTTATGCAAATAGTTTTATACTTTATGATTAAGAGTGATATATTTTATTTTTATGATATATTCAGTTTTGAAAAAATTGTTGTTCATAACTTTTACTTTAATGTTGTTAAAGTGTTTTTATGTTTATCCCATTAAATTGTACCTATAAAACTAATTTTTTAATTTAATATATAATTTAAAACTAAAGAAATACTGTTTTATACATTTTTTTGTTAATGTGTGAAAAGCTTTTCGTGGGTTGTTGCATTATTTATCCTGTTTGTTTTTTTTAATTTTAAAAAGATATTAATTTAGAAATTTACACAATAAGAAGCGTTTAGTATTTAAATAATCTATAACATTGATATAGATTTGTGTCTTAGTATTTTCTTCAAAAATTATTTTTATCACATAATTTTTTTTTTAACCAGTCAAAGTTATTTTTTCAAATTACAAAAATAAATACAAAATAAATTGAGTGAACAGAAGTTATTTTCTAATTTTATTAGCACAGCTCAGTCGACGTCGAGGGTTATAACTTATAATATCCGCATTCTTCTCGTAGACAAAACTTTAACGCTACTAATAATTTTCTGTTTTTCAATTTTAGAATAATTCAAAACAAAGGTAAATTCCTGAATGATTTTTTGTAGCATGCTGTAGTGTAAATATTATGTCAATAATTAGTTTATAATATCTCTTAATATTACTTTATTTTTCATTTATTCGTATTGAGCTTCTATCATTAGTTAAAATCCATACAATCATAAGCAATGCATGCATTTTAATTAATTTAAAATCTTAATTTCATGGTTCTATTGACATTTAATGATTTTAAGTCATTAAAACTATCTTATAGCACTATTACTCTTGTCTAACACTATACTTGTCTATCTGTTGCAAAGCTTCACACCCACCCACTCTGGCACCAGAACTTCAGCGCACGGAGAACCCTTACCCTTCCGGCTTCCCAGCTTTAGGTAAGACGGATATTAACGTTTTACCAGCTTACAGTTAAAAAAAATATGGAAAATACAACAAATAATTTTTTACTAATAAAAATTACTATTTTTATATTTTACACATTGCCGATAAAAAAATAATAATAATATTTAATCAAATAAAAAGTGATAAAGAAAATTTTTTCTTATCATTTTTATAAAATATTGACACGCTGTGTAAATATTTCATCAATCTGAATATTTCTCAACTAGTGCCCATGTTACAGTAAAATACGTGGTATTTTGTTTTTGTTCGTCGTTTTCAAAAATTACTAAAATATTAATTTTATGTTATTAAATTCCAACTAAGTGATTTCGTAATGAAAATTATATCTCTAATAATAATTTTGGATATTGTTCTCAATAGATGAAAATTAAATTATCTTAAAAAAAATTATTAAAATTTGAAAACATAAATGAAAATTCCTAAGTTTATTTTCTCCTTTGGCACTTTAACTGTTACCTCTGGTTATTTTTGTTAGTATTATGCTTTGTTTGTTTATTTGACCTATATTTGATGAATTCAGTTTTCAAACATACAATATATTTAATTTAATAATCATAAGCTTTAGTATACTCTTATAACTATATTACTTCTGTGTCAAACCTGATTTTAATTTTTATGAAAACTGAGTCAAAAAGGTCAATTTATAGAAATATAAACAGGAAATAAATAACCGAATTTATTTTTCTCATTTATACATTTTTCTGGGACGTAGGGGAAATAAGTATCCACGATAAATTTCCTTTAAATGATATGCAAATTTTGTATATAATACCAATTGTGGTTGATAATATACGGACAATTTTAAGCCATTGATGTAAAACATGGTTTTTATGTCTCACTATTTTTATTTAACTTTGCCCCTCTATACTATTAATTTTAATTTATTCTATTTTCATGTATAACATGAAATTCTTATGATGTTGATAACCATAACGGTACTTCAGTGTGTTTCTTTTGTTTTAGGTCCACAATGGCCCACTGGAAACAATGATTTGGAAAACAGCGCGTCCAATCACATGAATGGAAATGAAGGTAAAAAAGGTAATAAACAAAAAAAAAAAGTATAACAGAGTATGTAGAGCGTAGCCAGCGAGCAGAGGACAAGTATAACAGTTCGGCCCGTACAAGCGGTCACAGTTGTACAGTAGAGCTTTTCGCGAGGATGATCTTTCTGCCGCGATGTTGTAGGGACAAACGCCGACAGATGTTACGTTCATTATAATAGCACGTATAAAGGAAGGAGATGAAGAAGAGAGAACAACCCTTCGAGTAAACCTTCGACATTCGATTATGGAAACAATCCCGTTCTCCTAACCTCTCCCCTCTCGACAGGTCCCTTGGGGAACGATCAGCATTCTATATTTCCATCGGGCACAACGTCCAGTACCACCTCCCTTGTCTACCACCGCCCGATTCCTTTTAAGGCTTATAGCACCCTAGACTCAGCCGTTCAAAAACTGAACACGTGCGTTAAACGTTTAATTTTATTGACCACAGTAGTCGTCTTCATTGAAATAAGTATGCAAACGGTCAAAACCAAAAAAGTCTTACGTGTAGATTACACGAACAAACACTTAAAAGACAGTTGATATTTTGAAGAAAAAATTTATCATAATTAATTAGAACCCTGAATAATTATTCACGTGTACTAATTTTAGTGTAATATTGTCATAATTAGAGTGAGGATTTATGTGCTGTTATACATTTTTTGTTAAATTTGTGTCATTACAAATTTGTATTCATTCGCTATAAAGCTTAGTAATGTGTTCAAAGTGAGGTCAAGAATTGGGGGATTAGGGGGGTTTATTTCCTCTCAAATACAATAAATATATCTTCGTGACTATATATTCCTATAACAAATTTGCACAAATTTGGGTCATTTTAAAATGGCTTAAAAAAAATTTATAAATACATAAATTTGCATTCTAGTCGTAATCATTTTAGTAACTTGATTAATTTAATATACAAAATAATATTATTAGAATATATTAATTTACTTCTGTTATTAAAGAAGTTTGTTAAATTATGTGTCGATTTTCAGATAACTCTTTTTTAAACGAAATCGATCATTTCGGGGAAAAAAATACAATTTTCAAACCAGAAAATTCAAACACCCACATGGTCTCTACGAAAAGTAAGTCTTTAATATACCAGTTATAATATATTTACTATGTGAATCATCATAGGCATAATATTCTTAAGTTAAATAGCTCTAAGCATTTGCGCTCTGGACATTTTAAAAAGGCTTTTGACAATCAAACGCTTAATTGTAGTAAAAGGAAAAAGGATAATTAAATGTACATTTAGCAGTAAAACTATTTTAAGGCCTATTAGATATGCTCATCTTTTTATGGGTTATATAAAACTATTTTACATGTATAATTGTTTCAACCAAAAACATAAATTTGCATAATACTTTTTTTTCTTCAAAATATTTGAAGAATATATATTTATTTGTGACGACTTTAAGTTGTTAGTCAAAATTATTCACAAACGTTAACATTTAAAGTTATATTAAATTAATGTATAATTAAGATATAATACACAATATACTAGTAAAATTAATAACAAATTTTACGATATGTCATATGGTTTTGAGCGTTTCAATCTTCTGATGTCTTAAGAATGATCATGAAGGTTAGCTGCAGCATGTCGATGTGAGTCTCAAACGGTTTTCACGTACTCTTGTGTGCCGTTGAATTGGCTCTCTGATCCTTAAACGTTATCATTTTATTCGAGTATAATTTGTTAAAAATACTATTAATAAATTTGCAATATAAAATAACATTTCGATAAACGTTAATAATTTTGTTTTGTAACTGCGAATACTTAAAACATGTCAACGATAAAAGAAGCCAAATATTTCATTGTAAACGCTGGTCAAATGTTCACAAACAATTAGATAATTAAGAAAGGGGGTGTAAGAGTGTAATTTGTGGAAATGGGTTACATCATCCAATAAGCCCCACAGAGATTCGTATTAATATTCCCATCAGATTGACCGTTTCTAGTTACTATCTCACCTTGAACTCATAATAATGCATCATAGAGTTTCCGCAAATGGCAAAAATGCCATACGCTTATATACCCGTACAAAATCCTTTTACTGATTAGTTAATTTGTCGCTGACAATAAATGAAAGCTTATGTTGTCAAGTTAAGGTAACCAAAGCGTAAAATTAATTGGGATGAGAAAACCTGCCACACAATTTCCAAGCTTATGAAGTTTCTGTATTAACACGTAAAAAATTTAATGTTTGAATAAAATCGTTAAAATATTCGTATTATTTTATTTTATAAAAAAAACTTCTTGTATATTTTTAATTTTAACTATTATAATGTAACGGTTTTCTAAAAAAATAAAATGAAACAGTACTTTATAAAATGATTCATAAATTAAATAATAAGTTGTAGATTTTTAACATAATATTCAAAGATATTAATTAACAGAATGAATAAAAATATAATTTGTAATATTTTTAATGTACGTAATACACAATTTCAAAATAGTTCCTAATTTAACTTTTCAAAAAGGTTATTTATTTTATACTTATAAAGTTAACTAACTCGATTAGTTCTGAAATATTAATTATATCTTATTGTTATTATTATAGCCATCATCATTATAATTACTTCCTTTGTGTAATAATATATTACTGGACGCTCGAGGGTTTACCATAAAAAATGTAATAAAAATGCAAGCCCTAATCGTTATTGCTGTAGTTTCCTGTGTGTCTCAAATTTCTCCCTACGCACGACCAAACCCTTCTCATTAATTTCTACCCATAACTTACGAACAGTTACAAACCACCAAAATCGCGTATTGCCATTATAACTATTAACCGAGAAGCCCACAGAGACCACTTAAACGATGTTTAGAAGCCTTAAACAATTAAAAGGAAAAATCACCTCGATTGTTAAAACACAATGTTTATTGACCATTTTATTCAATTTTTAGTACTTAAACAACATCTTTTAATAAAGAAATTATTATTTAAAACTCAACGTGTCATTTCTGAGCTGTTAAGTTTAATGTAAAAATCAAAACGCACTTATATTGTTAAACTTGAGAAGTTGTTTAGCAATAATTTACTTTTCTCTTGGTTTTATTATTCAATTGAGAGTTTTCTGGATAATACTGAGAATAAACTGATCGTTGGAACTAAATGCGGCTTTAAACAATTTGTAGAACAACACATTATTTAAAGCACTTTAATGAACGCGTAATTTTATTTAAAAAGTTATCGAACGAGTGATTAAAATGTCACTCAAGGAATTTCCTCGAGCTTTATTTTAACAAAATATCTATTTCCATTTAACCGATTTTATCCGATACACTTACGAAATTCATAATATGAACGTTGAGCATATTGTACAGTCATACTCTAAAATGTTAAAATTTTATCTAGTTTAATATTAAAATTATGAACGATTTTAAAATATTCGATTATCATTAGTTGCGAAAATGTAGTAATTACTTAAAGTAAAGAACGGCGTCATAATTTAAAGTTCACACACCAATTTGAGTTGTCACCCCAATACCTTCAATTAATGTAAACCGTTAATCTCAAACTGAAACGGTATTTAGTTTTAAAAGACAAACGCATTTAAAAAATTAAAATGAAATACCATTATAAGAGTGTATCTTATACCTTGTTATTTTCTTAATTGATACCTTAATCAATATTAGTAATACATGTTACATTAGAAAATTTAGAAAAAATTTACAATCCAGGAAACTCATAAATTAATAAAATTGATTTTACAATAAACTTAATGTTTCATATGCTGTTTATACATACAAATTTTTTGTTCAACTACTGTGTAAAGAAAAAAATGTATAATTATCCCTATTTTAAGTTTCTATGATCATAGCCAATAAAAAATTGTAAATAAAACGCCATCTTAATTTGTCGTGAATTATACGCTTTATAGTTTACTAACAATTTTAAAATAACGTAAATTTCAAAATAATTGAATTTCAAAAGTTATATTATAAAATGAAAGCCATGAAATGTTATCATTTTTTTCTTATTAGACACTTTATTTGAAAATTAAAATTTTCTTCGCGTTTTCATTATGTAGAAAATATGTTCGATTAAAAACGTGATCCGGTTATTAATCGCTGCCTACATTTTTTTTTTTACTATTGTTTCAGATTCAACACCGAGACTAAAGATTTCGACCGAAATAATGTTATTGGTCACAGCAGCTACCGTCACCCATCTAATGATGTTCAGATTGTCCAGGCCAATATAAAACATCATGTTAGATATTACAAGCTAAAACTAACCCTCGTATAGAACAAAAACATTTTGTCTGACAAAAATAAACTGTACTACGGATATCTTCTCTCCCTCGTCAATCAAAATAAAATGTATACAAATATTATTACAATAAAATAATTACACTAGATCATCTATTATTATTATTCAGTATACGCTGGAAACCTTATTCTCTACTCTCAGAGAATATGCAATCGACCCTATCAACGTGCTAAGAAGATCGACAAGTATTAGAACAAAGTACACTACAAGTATTTATAATAGTTTTTTACAGCAAACCACACCATTAAAATATTACTACATCAAGTACTTTTTACCAAAAAGAGGCGGAATTGATCTAAAGTATTCGAGTACATTCAATTCCTGTCTCATTGTTTCCACTCAAGTCATGTAATGTATTCGCTCAGTTAAGGACGACGAATTATTCGCAGTTGTTCTTACACACAAATTGTACAGCCAAGTCGTATGCTCGTGCGAAGTTATTATTATCGTCAGCATCATCATTAATATAATTATTAAACTGAATGTGTTAGTGAAATGATTTATATGTTATGTGCGTCAAAGAAAATTCATAACGGTTGTTGAACACAATAATTACAAAATTATAAATCCGCTAGTATTTTATGGTCCAATTTGAATGAACAAATGAATTTCCATTTTTGTTAAAAAAAAATATTGGATAAGTATTTAACGCAATTAATGTAGTAGAAATCTATTACAATAATTTAACTATTGTTTTTGTAAATAAGAGTCGATCATAAAAATAAGTGTAGAACAATTTCTAGTATGTTAATAATTATTTTTACAACAAAGATTTATGTTTTCGTTAAATCATTTTTTTATTCCATCGCACGACCGTGTAAATTCAAACGTGTATGTTAGTTCTAAGGCCTAAACATTTATCATAGCCTAGGACTTGTAACGCTGTAGAAATAATTAAGTTGACATTTTATTCGTTATGTTTTGTAAATCATATGTGTACGATAAACCGCATTTATATGTATTAATAAAATTTTAAAATAAAATCGTGCAATTTAAATTGTTTATACCTAATCCATAAATAATTTTCCTTGTATTATTACTGTCAAATTGGGGCGCTGATTAATTTGTCAAATATTTTACAGATTTCAAGTATGAAAATGATCACTATGAAATATGAAACCACCCTGATTTTAATATTAATATGTGATACCTTGAGATCAAAGTTCAATTTTTTTATGTACAATCCAAATTGACGGATCAAAGCTTTTTTACTTTCGTATGTTTGCGTAAATCATAATAAAATTGAATCATTCTCAACTTATACTGCGTGGTTTAAAATCTATTTTATATGGCTAAATTGATTACCAAATATTGTATTTTTAGATAGATTTTAAGCAAAATGATAAAACATTTTTTTAACCTTTCTCCCACCCAAAAATAAATTTCTGGCTTCGTAACTTTGCTGAATTATAAATAATTACTTAGTTTTTTTTCGTATTCGAAATTTGAACACGCTATTATGATAATATAGGAAAAATTAAAATATTGATATTTTCAAGAAGTGTTTCTGTAGCTTGCTTTTATTTATCATTTTAGTAGTTTTCAGATGTCCACAATTTTTCTCTGAACTACGCAAAAATTTCTCTCAGCTGCACAAACAATATTCAACTGCATTTTAAATTATAACCTATTATAAGACATATAATAGGTTATAATATACATTGTATATTAACAAAAATATATATCTTAATAATTCAAAAGTTCTAATAATAAACTAAGAATTGTATTATTATTTTTAGTTGTTTATTGGTAAAATTTATTAAATTTTTTTCATGATTATGGTTTGATTTAATATTGTCTGACATAAATTAGATAGAGTAGTTAATTTTACAATACAATTAATTTTATGGGATTCCTTCAAATTTATAAAGGTTAAAATTAAGCACCGCATTAAATTATTAAATTATTACTTTAAAATAAAATTTATGTAATTTAAAAAAATCCTTAAGACCTATTAACTTGTTTTATACATGCATAATATGCATGTACATACTATATTTAATGAAACAATAATTCTGAACAAACAGTCAATTTTAATTTGTTTATCACAAATTTTGATATTTTAAAATACATGTTTTTTGTTATTATATTGCAAGTGAGCTTTTTGTTGGCCTACAGTAACAACGTGGTTTGTTCCTTGCAAAACGACTAGCAATAATAACAAGCTATTACCTTAGCGAGATGTCAAACCTATTAGATATGATTACCGGACCATAGGTGAAATTTAATTTTAAATTAATTAGTAATTTAATTTGAGTTAATATGTCGTTAAATATAAATATAAACTGTGTGCAGAAATGTTCATTCGTGCATTATCTTGCGCGATAAAAAAAAACAGTTAAATACAGACAAAAAATATAAACCCATAGACAAGTTCACTGCTGTACAAGTGAACTTACAGTAATAACTCCTAACACAGCGATGTTGAAAGACTTTAAACAATAAAATATTGATAACTTCATAGTTATGCCAGATTATTCATAATAACATAAGCTAAAAATAGGTATTGGTTTTAATGAATAAAACTGTTGAATGATATCAGTACTTAAAGTGATAGCAAACTGTTATTTTTTCAAGGGCATAATGAAACAAAGAAAATTGTACAAAAATCAAGTCAAATATTTATACGACTTAGTGCAAGGTTTTTATATTGTTGAATGAAATTCGTCGTAGATACGTAGGTTCGTGGGCGCTGGTGGTGAGAATGCGACTTTAAATATAATACCACTAGTCGTAGGTATAAAAAAAATAAATATAATAAAATAAAACAGATATTATTATTTTAAAGGTCGCAATAGAAAATATAAATGTAAATAATAATAATAGCGATTATACTATTATAGCAACCGACCAGAAAACCGAAAAACTCTTACAGGTCCAGCTATAATGTGGGGCTTACGATTTTAGTATACAAAGAGAATTAATGACGATCAATTAATTCCAAAATAAATTACCCAATATAGTAATATACTAATGTATTACTAAACGCTACTCGTGTGTGTATATACTACACACAAAAAATGTATTATAACTTTTTTACTATTTAAAAATTTGCAATTTTAATAAAAATGTAGAATTAAAAATATACAATCAATTTAATTAGTGGGGGTTGCGATCGTTCCGTCGTCCAGGCCACGAGCCGCCCCACTGACTAAACACTTAAAAATAAACGTGAGTCATTCCAATGGTTTTTTAGAGTTGTCTTACATTTCCTCAACGATTCCTTTGTTAACTCTTAAATCGATGCCCTTTTGTCGCTGTAATCGTGGTAAACGAATATTTTCTCGTGATATAAATAATGAAAAGTATTTAACGCGCGATTTAAACAAAGTTTACAGTAGTGCAATATCATATATGTATAATGAAAAGAATTTAGAGGGAGTTGCGCGTTTAAAAAACGAGCAAAGGTTGCACGGTAAGTACAATGAATTGGTTTGGCGTATAAAAATAAAGGTGGCGGTGCGGTGGAAACGGCGGTAGGGGACGCACATAAGCAAGTCGAGCAGGTCACAGGCCCATTTTCAAATTAAGAAAGGTTGGACATTAATAATTCGTCACGAGAAATTAATTTTTAGTGTCAAATATTGACTCATAATCTACCGTAATGATAATGGTGCGTACGGCAATATATGTACCGGCGGGTACAGACAATGCCACAATGGGTTCGCTTTACATCCAACCAAAATGAATTATTCAACTGCACGGCGGCTAGGGTAGGTGGGACGTATGGGACCGGGTAAAACGGGGACAGCGAAACACTTAAAACGCCGGAAGCGGCGTAATAATTTAAACAGCTCGCGTTTTCAAACCGACTCTAAGGTATTACAAGAACAATAATAACAACAATAATAAACAGAGTTTCGGCAGCAAAGGTTAGAGGAGCGCCCAGCGGTCTCCATGAGAGTACACCGATTGTTAGGATTTCAAACGATCCACCGCGATTTGTGTTTAATTTTTTTTATTCGTGACTAGTATGGTCAAGTTCTCTTGTTTTTTTTATGCCAGCTATATTAAGTTCTTCGTGTTCTTTATGCTGGTGCAAATTTTAGGTGGGCTCGAATTTCAGTGTAATGAAATTGAAATTCAAACATACAACATTATATTATTCAACGTAGAGAAAAGAATTAGAAGATGTTGGGATTCCCTTTCGTTCTAAAACATTGATAAGTGTATATCCCCATGAGACCCGTGGAATGTAAATGAGGAAATCGTTGATTGCCGCAATAAATTATTTTACTTACATGTAAACGCGCATATTTTTGATTGTGCAAGTATAATTTTGTTATTTTAAAGATAAGAAAGAACCGAGAGAATTATGAACGTCTATGTGATTCACTAGAATATACAAACTAACTTGAGAAAATAATAACTGTTTTCTTATTGAAGAACCTTCACAATTTCAATCCAATAATGACCGAATGTCTAGTTCTTTGCTTGCTCAATCATTGAACATTTTTAGTAATCAATTACTCAAATGTATCGAGATAACAAAACATGTTTAATATAAACGTCTAATTTTTATGAAACTTATTTTTGATACTTGGCAGACTGTATAACTAATGAATTTATTTTGGAAATATAAAACGGAATCCAAAAATATTTACTGCAGTGGTTTATTTAATTTATCGACGAACAATTTACATAAAATTCCTGTTACTCAGAACAAAAAAAAAATTCAAAACTTAAATAAAATCTCTATTTTTAAGTTCATGTAAATTTAGTTTTGTTTAAATGATTTTGTCATCTTTAAAAAAAATCTATGTTTATTACCAGGATCAACAAGTACATAATTTATACATATATCTGTGTTGACAATAGCTGTGATTTTCTAAAAATGTTATTTGAAATTCATAATATTTTAGCTCACTAGATTTATACATTTGTTAACAGCCATTGTTCATCTCAGATAAAATATCACATTGAATATCGTCTATCTGTAATTTAAACGTAACCGTGAAAAGCCTAATTTTTAGATAAAATCATTTGCTTTATACTTGGGAATTCTAAAGGAGTAAAACATTGATAAAAACAGAGAAAACTTGTGTTTGTTTTTTGAAATTTTCTGACGCTATAAATTGGCTTCTAAATGTTCAACTTGTGCATGAACTTAGTCATTGACTTGATAAAATTACTTATTCCCTATTAAATTTGTCGAACGGTGTTTTACAATAGTCTGCTTTACAATTTCTAAAATAAAAACAACGGCAATTGTTGTTTGTATGAAATGAAAAATAATACGTCAGTATAAAACATGAAGAGGTCCACGACGGACTTTGATATAAACTAAAATCAATTTACGGTAAAAATAAACTCTAACATTATTTCCTTGGTGTTGTGTAATAAACGAACGCATTAGGACGCAATTGGCAATTATACACTGTCCCCTTCGCTCGAGTTTGCAGAAACTTGAGCTTTACCAACATAAAGACAACAAATCTTCTCCGCATGTTCGCGCTTCTCGTCAGCGGATAATGATATACAAATGACACGCGACTTCGACGTTGTTCTCGTGCTCGTCAGTGGCATATTCGGATCACACGCTAGTCCGACGACGTTGTACCCTATTTTTTATTCATTTTATCCCGTCGATATCATAACGATCTGTGGTGGCTTTTCGTTGAACGTTTCAGGACCACAAGTAATCTTAGAAGAAAATTCGCTAGATTCAAGTAAAACAATCTCCATAAACAAACAGGAATTAAGACGATTGATACCACATAATGGAAAACAAGTCCGTCGTTTTTCAATCTCCATAAATAAACAATATTGAGAATGACAAATGTAAGCAATTTTCTTATTAACCTTGGAAGAATTTTGGTATATTCCACGTATTAACGTGTCAAGTCATTCGTAATATGTAATATAAAGCTTCGTAATATATTTTTGTAAAACGATCAGTGTTATCTAGACACTAATACAAATACTAGAAACTATATAGTATCTGAGTGCCATCTTAGATCAAGTAATTCACTCGTATAGGTAAAATTCATCTGAACAGATAAAA